AGCCTGCTCAACGGCGCACACTCGACACGTACAATTACAGCAAACACACACTGCACACACACACACCTACACTCACACACATACAGCAGTAGTTGCAATTACTTATACGGGTGTGCGGGTGTGTGCGGAGATAGTAGGTCCAGACAGTCCGCCAGAAACTCAAGAGCCACCAGCAGAAAGGCACTGCGAGAAAATAGAGACAATGTTAGGCATGAAGATAAATTATTTAAAATTGTATGTGTGGTAAAAATGTTATAAAAAAGTAACAATCACACAAAGATCCTGGCAAAAACACCTGCTTTCAAAATATGGCATCACTGTCTGTAGTATCCGGTGTAGCTAGAACCAGTTGAGAATCATAGCGCAATTTAAGCGTTTATTCGTTATAAAACAGATGAACTTAATCATATTTTAGCAGTATTTTTACCACAACTAACTACAACTACGACTACAACTATTCTAAAACTTTAAAAAATTAAAAAGAAAAATATAAAGAAAACTACACCAACTTTTTACTGTGCAAAGTGCCATAGCTATTCCAAAATGCTGCAGGATAATAGAATGGAATAAAGCAGGACATCAGGAAGAGAGAACGGCGAACGACGACCGCCAGAAGAAACATTCTGGGCACACACAAGAGGAAGGTGGAGCTAGTGGGTTTTTTGGTAAAATTGTGGAAAATGCAAAATTAGCATGAATACGAAATACAAGTTAAATATTTGAGCAGCCCAAAGGTGTGTTTCAACCGAAAGGGGAGTGGGCGAGAGGCAGCAAGACAGGGAAAACGACCATAAGAATGGGGAAAACCTTTGCTTCGCTCCGGCAGGAAAATGGAAAATGCAGGCAATGTCTGGATGCAATCATAGAAATTGCATTTGCCGTTAGAGCAAATGGTGCTTGCTAAAGTCTACTAGAGGTCCAAAATGAAATATTCTGCCGCATAAGCAGAAATGTGCTCGATAAAGATTTGCTTTAATTGCTAGCCATTAACCCTGCAAAAAGGGATATGTTTCTGTTCCCCACTCGAAATTGTAGACATTTAATCAGCTTTTTGTGAGAGAAAGAAAGAAAGAGGAGACTCTTTTGAATGGATTATGCAATTAAAAGAAAATTGGTTCCTTTGAAGGATAATTGGTTTTACTCATTTGAAAATTAACTTGTATGCAAGTAAATATTTAAACACATTAAATAATGGTTCAATAGGAACAAATAAATATTTCTAATGTATTTTAAAATATAAAAACAAGTTAGGAAGCTTTAATTCGCTTTCTATTTTACCTTTTTTAATATTCTTACATATCTTTCTAAACTCTAATTAATTTCCCCTCCTATTTATTTGTTTTGTTTTTTCCAATTTAAGTTCGAACATGACACTAGATAAATAGCCTGCTGATAACATTTAAAATAAATAAGAAACGGCGCACACAATCGCTCGTGGAGTAGGGAAATAAACGATAACTAATATTTGATTTATTTACAATATTTACAATACCCGCTGCATTTTCTTTATTTTCGCTGCCTCGTTTTTTTTTCCTCCTACCTTGTCTTACTTATTTTCATTCGTTTGGTTGTTTTTGTTTTTTATTCCTCTCGTTCCCTCCGCCTTATCAGCAGACTTTGACTTTGGGGACATGTAAATAATTTATATTGTATACTTTGTTATGTGTGTAATTTATGAGCACACTATAAAAACACACAGAGACAAGGGGGAGAGAGAGGTGTTATATGATGGGTCTTATCAGCGTAAAAGTGGGACTGGTATAGTGGAGGAGGAGATATAGGAAAATAGTTATGCCTGGCAACAATACTAGTGGGGTTTTTATAGAGGAATTAGCATAAAAAATATTTATATATATATATATTCTAGCTTCAATTAAAGTCAAGAGAATTACGGGAAAATATTATTTTTAATCTAAGAGTTTTAGGCTTAAAAATATTTATAGAAAAATTGTACTAAATATCCATAAATAAAAAATGGTACTAGGACTTGTTTTCGTAATATTTTTCTTAAAAAATATATTTTAAAATATATAAATAAGGCAAATACAATCTTGAAACTAGTTTGGGTACCGATTTTCAAGATAAGAACGCCACAAATTAATAATCCTTGTATTAAAAGTATAATTAGCGAGCACTGTTTCTTCTAAAAAACTCTCTAAAAAATTGTTCTTAAACCTTTTTTAAGGAAAAACCCAAAATAATCTTTATCTTTAAAAACTATATACATTTTTAAGTGCCTCACCAAGGTTTTTACCTTTACTTAACCTTATTTCGCTTCGTTTGCTGCTTATCAAGGCAATGTAACGCACACATGCCCAAAGAAAACACACACACACAGGGAGATAAACGCACACAGAGACACAACTAATTGCTGTTTACTCAGCGCGCAATTTTCTTTTCAACACTCAGAGAAAAAAGAGGTGGGGGGAGCTAAGAACTCAGGGCCATTGGCCGTTGCTTTTGTTGTTTCTGTTGCAACTCACTAATCTCGCACTATCTCTCAGGCCATACGTGTGCGTGTCTATATATATATAGTGTATATCTTGGCATGTTTTATTTATTTTACCAAGAAACAAATACGGCGATCATAAAAATTTAATTAACTTTTATGAACTGGGTAAATACTAGTGGGGAAAATGCATTAAAACACACACACATACACACACGAGCTGGAAAAACTAGAAAAACATTTACCCAAAGATCCCATATCCCTCCGGCGGTGCTGAAAATAATTTTTATTTACTTTCTTTACGATTTTTCATTTGCTCGATGTTTGTTTATTTCTGTGTTTGTTTGCCTTTAGCTTGCTTGTCGAGGTCTAAGCAAATGTTTTTTTTTTTGCCAGTGTGTTTGCAAAACTTTAATTAATACTTCAATGCATATATTTATGAGGTGCTCAGTGGGTTTTAGAATTACAATGGAACCAAGGATATATCACAAGAACTTGGTAGAAGAAATATAATGTTTTTGAACGAATACAAAAATATTATATATGTTTTTTACATTTTATAAAATATATTAAAATGCTTTTGTAATTTACAAATACTCTAAATCAATATTTAAACTAAAACAATGTTTTAAAATATATTTAAAAAAATGTAGATATTTTTTTAAAATAAGTTTAAAATTCTTCCTAAATGAATTAAAAATTTCCTATTTAAAAAACTTGATTAAAGCTTCAGAAAAATATTTATGTTTTATTTTATATGAGGGTAGGGATTTTATTTTAAATATTTAATTTCTTAATAAAACTATTTTATATTTAAAATTCTTACAAAAAATCCTTCTTACAAAAATTAAGAACCCTCTATAAAATATATTCCCCAACCATCGCTCCTACCTCACTGAACACAACTGTATAAGCATTTATTTTCAGTTTGTTTGCTTTAAAAATCACAAGATATATATATATAAAGGACTGGGGAAATGTAAGCAAAAATAATTGGCAATTTTCAATTGGAAATTGCGTGCAAATTTATTTTAATTTTGCACCTGCGTTTGCCTGCCTGCCTTCCCTCGTTTGTTTGCAATGCAAATACCCATACATACATACAAATATATAAATATTTTTAGAAAGCTGAAAAGGGGTTAAATCCCCCCTAGTCGGTGTTTGTCCAAGTTATTTGGCTGCTTCGTTTGCCACCTGGTGTCGGAGATAAGAGAGAGCAGGGAGGGAGCTACATAGCTAGCATTGTTGGATTTATTTGCATAGCATTATGCCCAGGATACAGAGATATTCCCTTTTGCCAAGGTGGCAAATATTATTTCACACATGTGCAAAATATAAATCACTTTATTGCAGCCAATTTGCACAAACGATTTGCTTTGACTGTTTGCCATTCTGTTGTATGCAAATTGTATTTATTGTCTGTTCCCTTCCATTTTTGATTTGTGCCTTTCGCAATTAGCAGAAATATTTCCAGAAATATGTATTTGCTGCCAAGGAGTGTGTGTTGTGTTGTGTCTGTTGATTTATTGCAAGAAATGTTTACCCAGTCAGTTAGGCCCAAGTAATTCCTTTTCCATCAGTTCAAAGTTGAAGTTTACACAAAAATTATGTGTATATTGTCTTTTGCCTCATTAATTGTAGGAATAAAGTTACTGAGATGAGAAAATATTGCTTAATTGCTTTGAAATCTTATTTTTCTTTGTTAAATAATATTAATTACTTGTTTACCTTATTAATAATTTTCTCTGACATTTTTTAAAACCACAAACTGTAGTTCATTGCAAAAGTGGTTTACTTGCCACATTTTTTTTAAGGCTTCCTTCCTTTGTTTCCTCATTTTTACAAATAGTTTGAGGCTTGCCGCAGAGTGAAAAACTTTCTAGTATTATGCAAAAAATATATATACATATATACATGACCGTTATCGATTGACCTGCCTGCCAAGAGCAGCGTAAAACTATTTTTGCATAGACTTTTTGCATCCCTTGGCCCAAAACACAAAAATAAAACTCGAGAAGCAACGACAGCCAGCGCGATTCTTTTATGAACATAAATTTTGAAAGCCTTTAATGGCGAGAGCCACATATTTTAGTGCAGCAACCGCAGCTGTTGCTCCTATGAATTTTTGCAACATTCTCCCCCCTTAACCTCGCTGCTTTTTGTTGTTGTTTTTGGCTGCACAAATAAATTGCGCATAAATCGTGGGCAACATAAATTTTACATGTTGCCGGCGTGAGTTCGTAGACTGAAAACAAGTTGGAAATTATGTGAACGAAGCCGGGGCATAATTTATGCGATCAGTTGGGGGGGGGACTATAAGAGGGGAAGGAGGCAATTAAAATATTTGTGCCACTAGAAAATTTCCTTAATTAAAAAATATATATTTTAAACTATGCAATTACGAGAGCAATCATTAGAGTATAAGGAAAAACTTTTTATATAGCGTCAGTAATTTATTCCACTTTAGCCAACTTTATCAGCAGTTTATAGCAGTTTTTGGCAAATAAAACTAACTGGAGAATATCTCATTAATTTATTTATTTTTTTCCAGCAGTCACGCGCCCGCAAAAACTCCACCAAAGCAAACAAACTGAATGCAGCCGCTGCATCAGCAACATCGCCTCGTCTAAGTCCAGTGCCGGCAGCAACACTGTTGCCGCAGCAATCGCCAAATACACCATCCGTAGCCGCAGCAGCAGCAGCAACAGGCAATCTGCAGCATCAGCAGCAGCAGCAGCAATATCAGCAACACCAGCAACTATTGTCGCAGCAGCAACTCCTGTCGCAGCAACATCAGCAGTACCAACAGCCGCAGCAGCAACAGCAGCACTTTCAGCAGCAGCAACACTTGCAGCAGCAGCAGCAGCAACAGCACGCACAGCAGCAGCAACATTTGCCACAGCAGCAGCACCAGATAACCGCACAAATCCAAACCATGAAGGATCAACCGCAACAGCCCATGGTGAGTCTTTTTAAATATTTTTTTAGATTTTTCTTACTGATTTTTTTCGAAGAACTTGTGAACTTTGTTATTAATTTTATTATTATTCATAATTCCCAATTGTTTATAAACTTTTAAGTGACGCAATCCCAGCAAACAGTGACAAAACCCCGCCTCACTTTAGTTTCAGTTTCAATTTCAATTTCCATTCGATTTTCCAATTAAAAGCCATTGACCTTCGCAGCCTTTTTCCCCGCTGCTAGTTCAATCAATTGGTTTTCATTTCGTTTTCCGTTTCAAGGCAGCCCCAGAACAGAAAGCAAAATGCAAAATGCAAAATACAAAATATACAAAATGCAAAACACAGCAGCAGCGGCAGCCGGCAGCCTGGCAAACCCATAAATCCATTCAGCCACGTTGCGTATACGTCACGTTGCCCGAGGCCCAATCAACTGCAGCTGTGCCCACACACACGTACATTATAGAGAGCGTATGAAATATATATATGTCGGCGAGTTGGTTGCTAAGTGCAAATTTGGAAAGCTTGTTGCTATGGCAACAGAGTTATTCGGCATGCTCAGGTATTGGTAGCCCTGTAGGTGTCGCTGGCGCGCAGGCGCAATGACAGTTGAGTCGGTAACAGGAGTGTTACTGAGTGAGGTCTGTTCGTCTGTCGCAACAATAGGAGAGAATGAGAGAGACAGCTTGAGATTGTCTAGGAATGACATCTGAGTGAAAAGTAAGAAAAGGTGAAAGGGCCACAGGAAAAGTGGCGTGATGACAGATTCGATTTGACTGCGCAGGCGAACAGAACTCGCTGGCTCGACTACGGTTAAATTAAATAACGGATATCTCCGACATCAGAAGTGGGATTCACCATAGCCTCGCGGGCATTCTGATAAAGTGATTTTCGGTCGATATTAAATTCAGTGGCGCATCGAAGGCTTGCGCAGCCGCGTGGTGCGAGACACCGGAGTCGTGATAGGCAGTCAAATGCACTGGTCGCGTGTTGAGCCGGACGGTTGCAAGTGTCATCAGTGTCGGCCAGAAAATTTGGGGAAGAATGGAAGACAACAACAACAGCACACTGGCGGAACTGCGGCTGAAGTGCGGAGAGCTGGAGTGACGCACTTCAGGCGTGATAACGGTGGTCACATTGCATCTGTGTGCACGAGATGGGTATCAGCGGCTGCGAGCGGCAGCATCAGCTGCATGTAGAAGCGAGTTGATTTGTGTGATTCAACAGTGACAGTATCGGGTGAGCCCTTTCCAATTATTCTTTGATTTGGGAGCTGAATTGGCTAAAAGATGGGAATAGAGATGTGTTTGATTGCAGTGTTGTTTGCACATCTGCCTTCCCATTGGCGAGCCCTGTGCTACGATAGGTTGTGCTTAGACTATCGGAAGCAATATTCGAAAATGGTTTCGGACAGTGGCCTTTGCCGCTTATGTCAGACCCTGTGAAGGAAAAATGTTTCTGTTGAAAAATAATTAATTTAAAAAAATTACGAGTTGCCGTCTGTTTGGTCTGCCGTGCCGTTTGGTTTGAAGAGTGCATCTTCTACCTTCATCATGCAATTGTTAAGGCGTTTGGAATTTATCATGATTATTTGCGATAGTTTACATAGATGCATGTTAATCATGGCAAACTCGGAAGAAAAGGCTTTCCGAAGGCTGAAGGTTGTATTAAATGTGTTGACTGTACCAGAGTTGCCATTTAACGTTACCAAATGTGGGTTTCTTGAACCTACTACGCAGTATCTGAGCTATGAGGTGTGCGGTGGAGAAATCAGACCCAATTCCTAGAAAATCCTTACGTTAAAGGTCCGTCCTTTTAATCGGTGCAATTAAGAGACCGTCGTAAGACCATTTATTGAATTGGTGCCTTATTTTCAAAAACGTGTGCCTCGATTTTCTCAGATCATGAGACAGATTCTTCGGCTTCAAGTATCTTTAAGTGAAATGACGATATTCAGAAATTGGAACGAACGTTTTTAATATTATTACAAATGAGCCTGTAATCGTTATTTGTGGGTTCGAAACATCTGATCAAATTTGAAACAGATATAAGCTCTTGTGGATATGGTCCAATGCTAATACACCTAATTAATGGAGACCCTTATGTTGGTGGATATATTGGTAGAACTATGTGTCTTGTGGAGTCCAAGTAGCCTTTGTATGAATTGGAAATATTGGTTGGCGTGCAATTATTCTGACATTTTTGGCATTGTTTGCTCAGATGAGAGTTTGTAGTCTATACTTATTGCAGATGTAATCATTTCTAAACAAAAAAAAAAAAAAAATTAACTGAAGTGCATCATAGAGTAGAGGAAGAGAAAGCGCAAGGCAATTGTGGAATTCTTTTTGTGTCCAGAATTCACATGACTGATTTAACTCCGATAAATAAAAATAAATTGACAGAAAAACGTCTGAACTTAGAATGGAAATCTCAAATGACCGACTGATCAACTTCAGGATTCAGGATTTATTGGTATAGTTTATAAACAACTAAAAATAATTGAAATTAACTTGAGTTACGAAGAGGGATTTTAAAGAATACAGAGAGGTGTGAGGCAATGTTATCTGCCAGTAGTGTCCCTTAAATTTTGTTGGATAGTTATTAATCAAGGTTATAAATCCGTTATGTGTTTGGATTGGAAAAAATAGACTCAGCAATATTTATCAGAATTGTTGGAAATGACTAAGTTTAAAGATTGTTGAAAATTGTATCATGTGTAAAGTTGTAAAGTAGTCATCTGGCTGGATACCAGGACCGCAGAGGTGATGGGAAGATGCTCTTGGCGGGGTGCAACTTGCGGCGAACTGCACAGTTAGTAGTGCAACCAATGCAAGCCCTTAAGAGATGCCAATCGGACCCACCCTTTGGGCTTGATACCACCACATGACACAGAGAAAAGTATAAAGAAAGAGAAATTTAAAGTTACGTTATGCCGGTTCGGTAAAATTATGGAAGTAAGAGCACAATTTTGTTAAGGCAAGATTAACTTAAAATGGATAAATTGGAAATTGAAATTGTTACGAATGAGAGAGAGGAGAAAGAAAGAGATAAAGAAATGAAGATGGAAATCGGTACATTTTAAAATCCTTAACAAGCAAAAGAACTTATAAGTATGCGCATGAGTTTTTGAGGGCATTGCCAAATAGACAAATAAGCAATCACGTTGATTGATAAAGATTTAGACGACTCAAGTGGAGATGCGTCTGATTCCCATGTGGGGAATGATGATATGGATGGCACGGTTGATGCCTTGGAATCCCAAGAGGGGATATAAAGACCGCACCATAACAGAAGGAATTGTTATGGCGGGGGTCAGTGGAGACCGCACCATAACAGAAGGAATTGTTATGGCGGGGGTCAGTGGAGACCGCACCATAACAGAAGGAATTGTTATGGCGGGGGTCAGTGGAGACCGCACCATAACAGAAGGAATTGTTATGGCGGGGGTCAGTATGTGGGTGTTAGACATATACGCCGCCGCGCCACGCCGCCGCCGCCGCCGATTTTTGCCTTATTTGACGCGCCGCCGCCAAATTATGAAAATAACGGCGCGCCGCGGCGCGCCGCTGGTGCGGCATCGGCGCAGCTTCAGCGCGGCCTTCAGTGTCATTGTTCTTTATAAAACTTAAAAAAAAAAAAATAACTCATTAAAATGGCCTTTTTGCCTTATTTGACGCGCCGCCGCCGCCGGTTCTTTCTGACTACTACGCCGCCGCCGCCGAGTCATTTTGACCTCTACGCCGCCGCCGATGCCTTTAACCATCGGCGTAAACCTCTAGTGGGTGTAAAAGGAAATACACCAGTTGATAAAGCTATGTAATTAGAGAAGTCTGAATTGTAAATTATGATTAAAATGAAGATGTAATTTGTTATGTTATCATGAAACCAAGATGCTTATTTTGTCTAAATGCCTCAATACTTATGTTTAGAAAATTAATGAAATGTTTGTTGACAATAAAATGTAACGAGTACCGAAATTTTAGAATACTGTGATTTAAAGTTAACACACGAGGACGTGTGATTTGTCAGGAAGGCCGTGTCGGATCACATGAAACGGGGCCTACTTTATTCCTATGGTCAGAATATGTGAAGCGGAGCCTTTTGAAATACGAAAAGAGCTTGTACTCTATGGTTTCGAAAGGTTATCCTGCCAAACTAACATTTGAAGACACTAGAAGTGTAAGCGAGAGATCGCCGACTGAGGCACTCGTTGGTGGAATCATTTATAAGGCTGTGAGGGTCCAGAGAGACCGTGACGCAAGAGGTGCGTGTGAGCGTTGCAAAGTGTGCAGCAAGAGCCTGTATAAATTAGACATATACGCCGCCGCGCCACGCCGCCGCCGCCGCCGATTTTTGCCTTATTTGACGCGCCGCCGCCAAATTATGAAAATAACGGCGCGCCGCGGCGCGCCGCTGGTGCGGCATCGGCGCAGCTTCAGCGCGGCCTTCAGTGTCATTGTTCTTTATAAAACTTTAAAAAAAAAAATAACTCATTAAAATGGCCTTTTTGCCTTATTTGACGCGCCGCCGCCGCCGGTTCTTTCTGACTACTACGCCGCCGCCGCCGAGTCATTTTGACCTCTACGCCGCCGCCGATGCCTTTAACCATCGGCGTAAACCTCTAGTATAAATTGATGAAGAGATGTTGAGTAAGAGTTGTGGTACGAGCAGAGAAAGAAGATACAGATTTGGTACGAGAAGAGAATGAAGTGGCGAGAAGAAATAAAAGTAAAGCTTATTTGACATGAATAAAACAGATAAAATGAAATGTTAAGTTGAGACCAAAGAGAGAAAAAAGAGAGAATGATAAATGACAGTTATGTTTAGAGCTATTAGAAGACACGTCACGCGAGGACGCGTGAATTGTCAGGATGGCCGTGTCGGCGAGTTGGTTGCTAAGTGCAAATTTGGAAAGCTTGTTGCTATGGCAACAGAGTTATTCGGCATGCTCAGGTATTGGTAGCCCTGTAGGTGTCGCTGGCGCGCAGGCGCAATGACAGTTGAGTCGGTAACAGGAGTGTTACTGAGTGAGGTCTGTTCGTCTGTCGCAACAATAGGAGAGAATGAGAGAGACAGCTTGAGATTGTCTAGGAATGACATCTGAGTGAAAAGTAAGAAAAGGTGAAAGGGCCACAGGAAAAGTGGCGTGATGACAGATTCGATTTGACTGCGCAGGCGAACAGAACTCGCTGGCTCGACTACGGTTAAATTAAATAACGGATATCTCCGACATATATGTATATATATCGCTCGTTCATTCATAAAGATTTGGTCGATTTTTATCAATGATTGGCTAAATGCTTTTTGAAAATAAAACCAAACCGCAGAGCGTAGAGCGCACACACAGGGATAGATGAAATTCCAGCAAAAACAGGAAGCCATCGGCGAGGCGGTTGAACTTGCCTATTAAACGCAACGAGCTGTTGGTTTGTTTGTGTTTTAATTTTTCGTATTTTATTTCGGATTTTATTGTTGCAAAACTCACCCCCACCGATACGGCTTTCACTTTCATAACTTTTTTTTCCTATGAGAGTCGCGCGCATAGCTCGTAAAAATGCAAATGAAAACGGGTTGAGTCTGCCTTTGTTTTATTTTGTTTTTTTCCCCCTCATTTTATTTTCTCTCTTCTTTTGGGGCTTTCCTGTTTATTTTTCCTAGCATAATTTGAGGCGTGTTAATTAACAACAACAACAACAGTTGCCGGCACTCCGGGTTTTTGTGTACAAAAACTGCCGCGGAAGTTGTAACTCTCAGGACCTTCCTCTCGGAGGGTGGAGAGTGAGTTTCCCACCAATTAGACTGAGCCTAATTAGGGCACACACAAAATATGATTTATGAAAGGGCAGCTCAGCTTTCGGCTTTCAGCTTTCGGCTTCATAATTCATTGTTTTTGAACTGTTTTTATGGTCGAAATGTTTATTTATGAAGGATCGCAGGAAATGCCTTAGCTGGGGGAAGGCTAATAAAACCCAGACTCGGCCTCGTCTAGACCTGACTGGAATTAATGGGCAAATATTTGTACAAACCTGTAATAAGTCACCAAAGGAAGGAGTTGCTTTTTCAAGTAGCCATAAATCATTAAGGAATTTTAATGGAAATTAAACAAGAAAGCCATTTTCATGATGGAAATTGGAAATTACAGAGGTTTTTTGGGAGAAGATTACAGCTGGAGTTTTGATATTAGATTGATTTATGTGATAAACTGAGAAAAGCATTTTTTAAAAGAAATTTATAAATTTTCCTCATTAAATTTACCTTTATTTTCCTCTATATTTTCAGGCACCCATGGCCTTCTATCCCACATGGCAGGCGGATCCGTCGCAGGGCTGGCAGAACCAGTTCATACAGCAGATACCACAGAACACACCGGCCATCACGTCCCTGAACTCACTGGACTTCCAGACGCAATCCTACGCCTATCCCTCGAACGGCTACGTGCAGTCGGGCCTGGGATTTGATCCCAACTATGGACGATCGCCGTATGCGGCGCCCGTGCAGCGCTACGACTTCCAGAGCCAGCAGCTGTCCACGGGTCCCCAGGTGGGTCTCCAGAGTGTGGCGGGTTTTGCGCCCAGCTATGCCGGCCAGGTGACTGCCGCTCCGGTGCCGCCATCGCAGCAGCAACAGCAGCAGCAGCAGCAACAACAGCAGCAGCAACAACATCTGGGAGCGGAACTGAACAAGACGATGTCGGGAAACGACACGCCTGGATATCCGCGGGTGAGCAGCGTGCCGCCGCGCTCACTCAACTGTAACGGGTATTCAGGCGATTTCAGCGGTTCCAACAACACAACCACCAGCAATTCCAGCGCCAGCAACACCAACGCCAGCAACAACAACACCAGTAACTCAAATCCCAGCAATCCTGCCCCGGTCAGCGGTGGCACCACCACACCAGCTCCGCCAGCGATAGCAGTGCCGCAGCCAGCCTCCTCGGTGGAGGCAGTGCCGCAGTCGCCCACCCGCAGCAGCCTCCTCCAGCAGCAGCAGCAGCATCAATCCCCCACAGGCAATGGCCTTCAGCCTTATGTGGCTCCATCCCAGCAGCAGCAACAACAGCATATTGCCTCGCCGCCAATGCAGGATTGGAACTGGAATGCCCAGCAGCAGCAGCAGGTGGGCGAGGGCTATCCTCAGGGCGAGCGGGTGCACCTCAACACTCGCATCAAGTCCATGATCATGCGCAAGAGCGATCCCAAGGATCCACCGCCGGATCTGCAGCAGCAGCAGCAGTCAGTGCAGCAGCAAGTGCCGCAGCAGCAGCAGCAACAGCAGACCGGTCATTTTTTATCGTATAGCCACCATCTCCGACCCGAGGCGGCGCTGAGCGCCAATGGGCCGAGCAGTGTCACGCCCACCCATCCACATCCACTGCCCCTGCAGCAGCAACAACAACAGCAGCAGCAGCAGCAAGTGCAGCAACAGCAGCAGGTGCAACAGCAGCAATCACTTAGTGGAGCAGTGGCCTCTGCCGAGCCCATCGGAGGTGGTGGCGATCACATCTGGAAGCCGCATCACAGTAACTCCTTCAAGAAACCATCCGTTGTGAGCGGCTATCCCGAGCTGCAGCAACTGCAGCAACACCAGCCAGGACAGCACACGACCATCAGCCATGCAGCGGATCCGCCGCAACCATTGCCCGCACCCGCCACGAATCCCATCCAGACGGTGGTGGCGCCGCCTAAGAAATCACGCAGCCGGAGCAAGGCCAGCCGAGCGGCGGCAGCAGCGGCGGCGGCAGCAGAAGCAGCGGCCGAAATAGATCGAGATCGAAACTCCACAGATCCCGGAGGTGGTGGTGGTGGGTCGCTCAAGCCGCTCAGTGCCCACTACCCGCCGCATCCACACAGTGCCGGTCCGGTGCCGCCAGGTCAGGACTACCAGGGGCACTACATCAAGACGGAGCCGGGTCTGCTGGGACAGCCCAACAAAATGGAGGGCTATGAGCGTAACTACCAGAACTTTATCCAATACGCTGACTTCTGCCAGAACGATGGCCAGGGGCAGCCGGTGCAGCAGCACCATGGTCATGGTCAGCAGGACTATGCTGGCTACCATCACAATTCCGCTTATTATGGCGCCGGGGCGAGTAGCTTTCAGCAGAATTTCCAGCAGAACTTTGTGCCCGGCTACCAGCACTCCACGTACGGAAGCAGAGCGAAACCGCCAAGCAATCAGCCCCAGATCCATCAGATCCATGGCCATGGTCAGAGTCTGATGGAGCTGGACCGCAAGCCGGACACCAATAGCATCATCCCACTGCCCACGAACTACGAGAAGGATATACCGGCGTATCCCATACCACCACACCGCTATGCCCTGGGGCATGGAGCTCCCCCGCATCTCCATGGTCATCATGGCATGTTGGAGCCCAAGCTGGAGGATATGGGCATGCTGGGTCATGGTGGTGGTTATGCCTACTTGGGCAGCGAAGGAAAGCCATTAAATAATGGTTTTTCCTGCTGTCGCCAGGGGGGCACGCGACCTCCAACAGCCGAGCATCTTAAGGATGGCACCTGCCTGGGCTTGGGTATCCAGCCCAAAGAGGAGCTGATTGATGAGGATGAGCTGATTGATACCCATGGCAATGGCCTCAAGCCCGTGGTGGGTGTTGGAAAGATCAAGGGCAAGCAGAAGCCCGACGAAATACCGGAGATTGTGGTGAAACACGAGAAGATCAATCCCATGTTTGATACCACGGATCGTTTGGAGAAGGGCAACAAGACGGAGATACCCGAGTGCGAGTGCTTCCAGTCTGATAAGAATCCTCCAGAGCCGGGTACCTACTACACGCACCTTGGTGAGTTATCCTTTTGGAATTTGTAAATAAAAGCAGGGACCGTAATCATTATAAGTAAACAGAAAAAAAACACTATTTCAACATAATTTTAATCAAACTTACTCTTATTTTATTTAAATTTCTCTCCAGGCACGGCTTCCTCCTTAATGGAACTGCGACGAGAGTTCGAGGAGCGATGCAACCTCACGGGTCGCCAGCTTCGAATAGAGAAGATTGTCTACACGGGCAAGGAGGGGAAGACCTCGCAGGGTTGTCCCGTGGCGAAATGGGTTATACGAAGGGCTGATCTCGAAGAGAAGATTCTCGTGGTGGTCAAGAAACGACCAGGTCACAGGTAGGCTTTCTCTAAAGTTATTTACAAAATATATTATGATATTAAATATTATTCTTATTCCCCCTCACAGATGCATAGCTGCCTACATAGTGGTCTGCATGGTGGCCTGGGATGGAATGCCACGCCTGGAGGCGGACAATGCCTACAAAAATCTGATCCCTAAGCTCAACAAGTATGGACTGCCCACCACGCGAAGATGCGCCACGAATGAGAATCGCACCTGTGCCTGCCAAGGTGAGTTCCTCCCTCATTAAAATAATAAAATAATCTCTAAATTCATGACTAATTCCAGGACTCGATCCGGAATCATCTGGAGCCTCGTACAGCTTTGGCTGCTCCTGGTCCATGTACTACAATGGCTGCAAGTACGCCCGCTCCAAGACGGTGCGCAAGTTCCGGCTGTCGGTGAAGAGCGAGGAGGCAGCCATCGAGGATCATATGAACCTCATTGCCACCCTGCTGGCGCCTGTGTTCAAGCAGGTGTGTCCACGCTCCTACGACAATCAGACCAAGTACGAGCACGAGGCCTCCGACTGTCGGCTGGGCTTGGAGCCTGGAAAACCCTTTTCCGGTGTGACAGCCTGCCTGGATTTCTGTGCCCACTCGCATCGCGATCTGCACAACATGCAGGATGGATGTACGGTCCATGTGGCGCTGCTAAAGCCAGGGAATCGGGATACCCGTCTGCCCGACGATGAGCAATTCCATGTCCTGCCTCTGTACACGATGGATGGAACGGATGAGTTCGAGAGTGTGGAGGGGCAGAGGGACAAGCACCGCACTGGAGCGGTGCAAATGCTGGACAAGTGAGTGTACCGTTGAGTTTTGAGCAGCAGGCTCCAAGGATGTCACTACCGAACTGGGCTAATATATATAAATTTTTCTTGGTGTTTCCTAAATAGATTCCCCTGCGAAGTACGAGTGCGTTCAACCCCGCTGATACCCTGTCGAAGGCATGGCAAAAAGCGAAAGGATGGCGATGATGCAGCGCCGCCGGACGGTGACCAGGATGCCGTGGGCGATGGCAACAGCCAGAGCAGCTCCAGCAATGGTGCCCAGTCGCAGACGCAAGCCAACAGCAGCAGCAGCCAGCAAAGCAGTCCACCAGCCCTGGGCGGAGCCCACATCAAGAAGGAGACCTCTAATGGCAACACGGGAGTGGCGGCCAATGGAGCGAGTGGCAAGGCCAAGGCCAAGGGCAAGTCCAGTCAGTCGAATAACTCCAGTGCTTCCACGCCGGGATCGGCGCCACCCTCAACGCCTTCGCCGCGCTGCCAGACCCCAGTGACGAACAATCCCAGTCCGGCGGGCAGTGCTTTTAGCACGCCACCGGTTCATGCCGGTAATCCCAATCCCAACACCAATCCCAATGCCAATCCTCAGAGCAATGGCGGCCAGACGGCAGGTCAACCCGGCCAGCTGATGAGCTCGAACTCGAGCCTCATGAACATGGCCACCATGATAGACACCTTTACGGACGCCCAACTGCAGTCCAACCAGATCTCGAGCACAGTCCTGGACTCACCCTACTCGTACGACTACCAGACCGGCTCCTACATCGACTCCAGGAACTACTACGGCAACTGGCCAACGCCACATGCTCCCATGGGCATGCAGGCGCAGGTGGGAGCTGCCGGGGGAGTGGCCGGAGCAGGTGCAGCGCCGCCACTGACACCAACAACGCCAACGGCACAGCCACAACTAGGAGGACCACCTGGAGGAACAGCAATTCCAGGTGGAGGAGGAACCTCAGTGGGAGCCCCACCAGGAGCCCTTCCCGCGAGCATTCCCTCTGCAGTCACACCCACGCAGCTGGAGACCAGCAATGGCTATGGCTCTGCAAGCTATCAGACTTTAGTTGGAGGAAATCCCGCCGGAAACCTAAGCAATCCAGGTGGAGTAGCCACTGAGGTGCAGCAGCAGCAGCAGCAACAGCAGCAGCAACTCCAGCAGGCTCAGCAGCAACTGCAACAGCAGCAGGGACCTGGCGCCACCCTAGTGCCCGGTGGTGGTCTTCCCGGTGATCTCAAAAGCCGCCTAATCAGCGGAGAGGAGAATCCCGACTCAACCACTCTGGTGAATCACCATCACACCTCACATCATCCCAATCTGACGGAAAGCAAGCTGACCGCTTTGACCGCCATGCAGCCGATGAGCGCCATGACGCCGCTGACCACCTCGCATCACCATCCACAGGAGGGATTCGTGAAGCCCAAGCCGCCGCCCAGCGACTACACGGCCCAGTACACGGCTCAGTATCCCAACAACTACCAGATGTATCCGCCACCACCGCCGCCGCCGCACTCGGCGTACTCCGCTTACGATGCCTACCAGAACATGAACTACAATTATGGGTACCATCACCAGGCCTACTCACCCTACGGGATGTATCCGCAGCAGACGCCACCGCCCACGCCGCCGCCTCCTTCGCCCAACTGGAACATGTACGGGCATCATCAGACCACAGGCTCTGGCTATGGCGGCTCGGGAGGAGCTCCTGGAGGAGCCGGAGCGGGCTCGCTGATTGCCTCTCATGGAGGAGCCGTGGCTCCAGCGGCTGGTGTGGGTCTGCAAAAGCCCAGTATACCAGCACCTGCTCCACTGCATCACCAGCAGCAGCAGCAGGTGCAGCAGGTTCAGCAGCAGCAGCAGCAACAGGTGCAGCAGCAGCAACAGGAAGCCCCGCAGACGATATTACCCGACTTGACTAATGGCCAAAGCAGCGGCGACAATGTGGTTACACCCACGCCGGCGGGTGAGGCGCCCAACAGCGATGCGGGATCAGTTGCTCCTCCTGCCGGAGCTGCCTCTACAGCGCCGCCTGCCGGATCTCCTGGCAGTACCAACACCAGCAAGATCGAACCCATCGGCGAGGTGGCCGAGATCAATGAGAACATCGAGGCCTTCCAGGATCCGCAGATGGGCGGCGTGGCCATTGCTTTGAACCATGGCAGTGTGCTGATCGAGTGTGCCAAGCACGAGATGCATGCCACGACGGCGGTGCGTAGGCCAGATCGGCATCATCCCACGCGGATGACGCTCATCTTCTACCAGCATCGCAACCTCAACAGATCGCGTCATGGCATCGACGAGTGGGAGGAGAAGATGCGGGTGAAGAAGATCAACACGGATCTGGACAACAAAGCCAAAGAGGAGCGCGAGCGATTGATAAAGAAGGCAGCTGGCGAGGATCTGGACGATCTCGATGAGGATGCCATGATGCAGGATGAACTGGCCTCGCCGGTCGTCAAAAAGGAATCCTCTACGTCCGCCGCCAATGGACAGCAGATGAAGAACGGCGCCAGCGGCAGTAAAAAGAAGAAGGGAAGCGCCGCCGACTCAAAGAAGTCGCAATCGCAATCCAGTGAGCAGTCAAAAAACGAGAAGGTTGCCCTCCACGCACCAACACTGACGACTACGTCGTGGACGACCCTGTTCCCCATGCATCCGTGCGTGGTTACGGGGACCTATCCGGAGGGCAATAGCAGTCCGACCTCGTCCACGAACGCACCCAACGGTGGTGGCCCTCCGCCATGTCCGCCTGGCAATGGGCCAGTCCAGCCACCCATCACCACTGGTCCCGGAGCGGCGCCCATTCCGCAGCAACAGCAGCAGCAGCAGCTGCCGCAGCAGCAGCAGACCTGAATCTGCTACGCCTGAGGGGCTACTACTGGTAACTGGGAAGCTCCTCCCGAGAGTTAGCGCTAATCATAAGCATCCACACTAAAGCAGCCCTGTTCTGGCTTTCAATTTCGACAAAAAAAAAGGGTGAAAATACTTTCCCAGTAACTTTCGAAATCGAATTATTCAATTTGATTAAACAATGTTTGAGGTTTACAAGACTTTCTTTTATTCAGAACTACTGAAAGCCAAAAAGAGAAATTAGAAGTAATTAAAGTTGTTCCAGAATTCCAAATCGCCAAAACTTTAATCGAAATGGAAACTAGGAGCAGGGCTGTAGGACTGAATATTCACTCAAAGTAAAGAAATGAAACGGTGGCCGGAGAATTAATTATTTTTGTAAACGCATCTGATTTCGTGTGCCATAGGAGAAGACATAGAAAAGTCCCTAAAAAATATAAGAAGGAGTTGCAGTCGAAAAAGTACAGTTGACGCTGCCAGGCCAGAGTTGTCACCATTCCACAAAAAGAAAGTAATTAAAATCTCTCTACAAAAACACAGCTAAAATCACTCAAAAATAACAAGTTTCTAAACTGATAAATGCAGCTAGTTTAAATATCAACTATTAACTTTAGTTTCTTAAGACGATTTCTGTTAAATGAGTTATTTTTTACAAACAAAAAAGTAAACAAAACACTACGAGCAAACAAAAAACTACAGAACAACAGCAAAAACGAATACTACTAAAAACAAAAACCAAAACTAAAAAGAAAGAAAAAAGAAATCATATTAAGAGTTAGTGGAAAAGTTGAAACAAAAGAAAGATCATTGCCAAAAGTACAAATAAACCATTTTTTAAACAAAACAAAAAACGCAACTAGAAAAACGTAAAGAATTTCGCAAGACAACAAATGAAAATAGTTGGTAAACCCAAAAGCCGTTTTTACAATACACTACAACAGTTTTTAAAATTTAGTTCAATTGCATTATTCCTATTCAACAATTTGACTGTCCTTTGGGATTGCCTTCGAATCAAGTACAGTCTCAATCGAATTTGAATTGATCCAACGAAAGAGAGGGCGTGTTCCAAATTTCTCTTTTCCTTGAATGCGCTCTTTGGCACTCAAACTTGAGATAAATTTGGCATAAGCTTAGATGATTTACCGTTATAAACCAGATCATTCACTCACTCCCACGAAAAAGAAAGCGCAGTTTGAAATGGTGAGGGTTAGAGCAGGGCAACTAGAGGAACTACAACTAGAGAAGAATTGAGAGGATATTGAGTGTGAGAAAAGGATATTTTTGAGCCTGAGGAAAAGAGACAAACCGTGAGAGCGGCACAAGCTCCATAAAAAGGAAGAAAGGAGATGGAAAGAAATGTAAGGCAGCAAGACATTTTTTAAAACTTTAATAATAATTTAAACTAAGTTTAAGCAAAAATACACACACACACACAAACGAAAGTTATATATTTATTTATGCGCCCAAAAATGTTAAGCAAAATGGAAGGCAAGAAAAAAAAATCATAATAAAGAAAAGGGTTTATTCTAGTTATTATTATTTCTGAAAGATTTAGTTTCAAAGGCAAAAAACCCAAAAAAGACTCGAAACCAATCAAGTATTAAGCACTAAACAACCAACAACTAATACTAAAACTAAACTTATTTGCCTAACCAATTTGTAATTGTTGTATAAAAAATTCAATGAATGATTTGCATCCATCCAAAAAACGTAAAATACAATTAACGATTAACGATTAGAATGCAAATGTGGCAGCGCAACTGAATTTCAAATCAAATTAGTCTAAAAACAAAACATAAGAAACAAACATTATACATATAAATATATTTTGCACAAAACAAAAGAAACGAGAGGAGACGAGATGGAAAGCAAGGATAAGCAAAATGAAAACGGTTATTGATAAATACGATTTTTAATTTCGAGGACATGTCAGATCGTATATGTAAACTGTACGCGTAGGGTGCGTACTGTACGTAAATGTAATGTAAATGTAAGGCAGCGAAGAAGACTTTTGAGCAACAAGAAAAAACATGTTTTGATAAATATTTAAATGTTTATATAAATATATATATATATATATTAATATAAATTATGATAATTGATAATTGATTAACTGATTACGATGCAAGCCAACAGCAACTATTATAGTTTGTAAATGCTTTTTTATCATTTTCAAATAAAAGCAAATCCTTTGCCATTTATAAGTTACACACACCTCACCCGACTTTTGAGTTTAGCGGGGCGCCCAGCAAACACTTCTATATATATAGTATATATAGTATGTAAAACCATACACATATTGGCATATGATAAAGCAAACAAAAACCCAATTAAGCCGAGCAGCATAAGTAATAAGTGGAAATCAGAAATCAGAAATGAGAACAAAGATAAGGCACGCACTCCCGATATGGGGGAACATGATGGGTGCGGAATCAGCGGAAGATACCATATAGCGATGATACATACATACATATTGTAAAACGATACACAAAAAACCCAGAACGTATATACAGAATGATGGATGAGAAGAAAGCAAAACATAAATTATATTTATTTAAAGTACGCGCATGGAAAGCAAACAGATATTAATATTAAATAAAACAAAAAACAAAGTTAAACTCGCACAACTGCATTTTTTCTTTTTGGTAATTCAAAAAATGGGTCAAGACAAGAAACGAAGGTAATTTTGGGAAGCTGATGATGACCGAAAATATATTTTTTTTAAGTTTATATCATAGGTCCATTTCAGTAATAGAACTTTGTAACGATTAAGGACTCCAACCTCTAGAAGTTCAATAAAACAGTAACTAGGTCTATATTATTTTATTAATTCTACATTTTAATGAAAACAATTTTGTCAGAATACAAAAACATCCAAGTCGAAAGACTTGTGACAATTTCAAGGCAAACATCGAATTGCTTTTTTGTTTTTTAATCTATATTACTTTCTTTTAAATCCAATAAAACTTTTAGAAGTCACCACAAGTTAGTTAAAATAATTGTAGACTTTGTGGCATATGCACACCATAGACATAATCCGATTTTTTATGAAAATATATATATGAAGAGTCTTTAATGCGGCAATGCGGAATGTGCGCTTGAGTCGTGGAAAATTGTATATCGGGGCAAGTAGAGCCTCTAAATCTATCTTAATTATTTTAATTATTTACACGAACATCGTTAAGTACATGGCAAGTGATTCCAATCGCTGCTTTGCATGTGCAGCGACTACAGTTTGAGCACCAGCTCCTTGGAGTAGTCATCCAGCGCCGATCTGTTAAACGAGCCAAAATTCCACTGCATGTACACATTGCCGGCATCGCACTTGTTGACCACCACCTCCTGGGTAAAGGGCAGCAGCTCCAGGCATCGCCTGCCCTCCGTGCCGTGCTTCAGCAGCTTCGTGTGATAGTCGTAGTACCAATATTGGTTGCCTCCCTGGCCATGGCATTCCCACAGCCAAATGGGCGCATTGGCATCCCAGATCTGGACATCGAGACACTCCTTCTTCCGCCGCAGTCGCAGATCTCGCTTCCAGCTCAGCTCCCAGAACTGTGTCTTCTGCGGCGTCCTTATATCATCGGCACAGGCGTACATGCCCATGCGATTGTGCTTCTTCCTGCCCATCGTGTCCAGGCAGAGCCTCTCATTTCCGACATTCTGCAGGGCCCCCAGTGCGTAGGCTGGCGGATCTATGGGCGGGTATGTCTTCATCAAATCGAAGGCCACCTCCTCCATGAACCACTTGAAGGATTTGCATTTAAGCTTGGTCCGAATGGCCTTCTGGGCGGTCAAATCACCGGCATCTACACGCTCGTAGAGACCATCGCCATGGCTATACAAGTAGTTCTTGTACTCATCCATCCAGACCTCAGCCACGCGTTTGTAGTTCTGCAAAGGGAAGTTAAGAGAAAAGGTGAAATTTAAAGAATATATTAAGGAATTTGAATTTTAAATTTTAAATTAAAAATACATTTTTCTAATATTTAAAATATCCAAATATTACAGCTAATTATAAGTTTCAAAAAACAAAAATCAAACTCACCCTATGCAGATAGTCGCCCTTTCGTGGACTTGGCTGATGATTCCTTGGACCGCGGTATATATGACCGATGCGGGAGCACGGGGCATCGTACATCTCGCCACCGCACATCCAAATCTTAAAGCTCAGCTCGTACTGCTCGCCGCCCCAAATGTCCAGGCCCTCGTCATAGCCACCCAGTTCCCAGAAGAACTCCGTGGATATGGCAAATAAACCGCCAGCCATGACAGGGCTCTTGAAAGGATCCGCTGGATGCTTCAGATCCTCGTCTAGCAAAGGCAGTCGCTTGTAGAAGAACTCCCAATCGAAGGCGCCGCGTGCCCCCTCGTCCTGTGCCCGATACTGGAAGGTATCGTGGGCAATCACATCAATAAAGGGACACACAGCCGTGCGTTTGTTCAGAGCAATTGGTTCCAGCAACGGTGGCAGCCAGTTATAATTGGCCTCCACATGGGAGTCCAGAAAGATGAGAACCTCGGCAGTGGCATTTCTAGCTCCCTCCGAACGGGCTCCGATCAAACCTGTGCGCCTTGGCAATCGCACAATTCGCACAATACTGAAGTGATCCTTGATATAGGCCTCCAGATCGTGACCCAAATAATCACGATCACTGTGATCGTCCACCAGTATGATCTCCTTGAGCAGCTCCGGCGGCGAACGATTGATCAAACTGTGCACGGATCGCATGAGGACGCTTAGGTATTCGTTGTAGAAAATTATAATCACACTGACTGTGGGCAGCTTCGCCACATACTCCTTTTTGCGACACCTAAAAATATTGATAAAAATTTGAAGGGTTTTCACTCGAAAAATCTCTAAAACCAATTTTCAGACCCAAATTTCTTAGCTTTTTAGAATCTTCAGACGAAGAGTCTGACTATTTTAATTAAAACCTTATCAAAGCTACTGTAAAAATGTGATTTAATGCCTCACAAATACTCACAGCTTGTGACGGATGTCGGGCACAGATCGGTTGACCGATATGGAATCGGAGAGCAAAGCATTGAAGCCATTTTCCAGGGACATGCGATGCTCTACATCGCGCTGCGATTCATCATCCAGACTGGCCTTTTTTCCCTTCTCACCTAAACCCACGCGTTGCTCATCCCTGGCCATGGCCGTGTAATCGTGCCAATCCTTCTTTACCGTCCCGTCGGCGGGCGGTGCCACCTGCCGTATTTCATTCTCTGGCTGTTGCGCGGGTTGTGGATTGTGCACCTCCTCCTGCTCGGGTTCGGGCTCATCGATCTTTTGCAGCTCTGCTTCAGCTTCAAAGTCGGGTTCGGGTTCATTTTTAACCTCTGGCTGCTTGGGTTTCAGCAATGGCACTTTCTGAACATCACCCGAACGGGCAGCCGGCTCTGGTACAGGCTCCACGCCGTGGTGTTCCGGCTCAGGCTCTGCGCCATGATGTACCACCTTGTTGGTGTACGGACTGGAGGAGATCCAGCTGGTGATAAGCACGAACAGCGTGAGAGAGACGAGCACCAGGAGGGCCGTCTTCACAATCCATTTGAGATTGGGTCGCCGCATCTTGGTCGGATGGATATCCGTGAGGTATCCGTGGTTACGTGTCCGAATTCCGACTCCCCTGGTCTCTCATGGAGTGCAGCTAAAATTCACAATTGATAGCGGTGACCTCGTGTATTAGCTCAGGTGTTTATCCAGCTGTTTCTGGTGGCCTAATGGTTCCAGTATCTCAGCTGCAGACGTGGTTACCCCCGGAGACAGCAAAAATCTAGAAATATGTACGTCAAAGAGAAAAAGATAAATAAACGTGAGTTCAGAGGCATATTGCAAAATACAGGGTACAGTGGGGTATATTTGGGTTTACGTATTTATGGGAAATTAAATGTTAAGTAAGTTGTAAAGCCTTTAAATGATAAATATATATTTCAAAAACACAAAAACTATTTGATGTTAACTTAAATTTACAATAATAATAAATAATAATAATAAAATCAAATAAATTAGCAACATTAATATTAATATATTGTTTTTATTTAATAAAACTAATTCATAAAAAATGAAATGCTTTATTATTACTTTCCACATGTTCACCGTACCGAGTGCCCACTGTGTATATCTTTAAATGGCACAAAACAAAACCAACAAAACAAGAAAAAAAGAACCCAAAGATAAGAGAGACATTTCAATTTGGAAAGTTGAGATAAAAACTTTGGTTGGAACAAGCACTTAAATAGCTTCCGGTTGGCATGACCTTATCGCGATTATTTATGTCATAAATAACTTCTTATAATATGTATTGTTTATGAAATTGTCTAATTTTATGGGTTTTTAAGCAGGTGGAAACGTCACCACCAAGGCAGGTGAGTGTGTTTCTTATCAGAAAAGTAGATTTTAGCGGCCGAGTATTTGAGATTTTCTCACCTGTCCGTGTGGCAGTGTTTGTTTTGTGCTCAACTCTTCAGATAGTCTGGGTTGAATAATCTAATTAACATAGCAAAACAAGAGTTTGCTTCCACGTCCGCGGAAATTTGTTTTTTTATTTTCTTTTTTTCTGTTTGCTGCTGTGGGTGCTTCTTCTTGGAGGCGCGCTGTTCTAATGCCGTTCGCCGTGGTGGCCAAACAGCTGTTCGTTTTAGACAGTCACCACGAACGAAAAACGTCTTTAGTATTTTTAAAATTTGTTTTAACTTGTTAAATTGTAAATTAGAAAATACCAACTATTAATTGTTCTTACCACTTTCCGGTAAACCATAAAATAAACCTTTATTACTAACAACTTCAAGCTTTATTGGTTCTCTTCAAGGTTCATGCTTAAACATTCAACATTTTCTTGACCTCCTCCTTGTATTTGGCCAAATTGTACTCGTTCTCGCCCTCGTTGATCAACTGCTCCACACACTGCGCGTAGGCGGGCGGCGGGGAAATCTTATTATCGCCCTCCTTGGCACTCCAATTGAGGATGCCTTCGGCGGCGATCTTGGATTGATTGCGCTCGAACAAGTAGACCTCCATGTCGGCCTCCGATTTGGATGCCTCCCAGGGCTCGGTGACGAAGGATTCGTGGTAACAGGCAGTCAGCAAGTACATGGCATAGTCATAGTTCTGCTTCCTCAGCGGACACCTGTCCGTGACAAAGGTGACGGTGTCCGTGTCCTTGTTGTAGCGATCGCCCACGAGACGCAGGAACTTATCCCTGGCATGAGCATCGAACTTAAGATCGGAGAGTTTAAGCGAGATAGTGACCCTTCGCGCCTCCAAATTCCGGATGGTGGGCAAGCTCTGTAGGTAGTCCGTGGTGATGACTTCGACGGGAAAGTGACGCTGCCACTTGGCCTCCGTTTCCAGACCCTTTGGCCACGGACTGCAGAACTTCTTGATGGCCTCGCACTGCTGACGGATGGCGGGCGGCGTCAAATGCAAAAAGTTGGGGATTTTCATTAGCTCCGCATTGGCGAACTTTGAGGGTGCCGCTGCTCCGCGTTCCGTGAAGCCCTGGCGCAGTGGCAGCGGCACACTGGCCGGATGGAAGGATCTGGGTGCTGGCCATGCGGCCGTCCAATCCTGGTCCACTGCCATGCGGTTGGTGCGCGGCGGGGTCACAGGATCGCGCCTGACCTCCCGTCGTCGCTGGAACTGCTGCTTTACGGTACGCAGATTCAAAACACGGAACTCTAGGAAGACAGGGAAATCATTATTATTTATTTTTTTTATTTACATATATGGATTTGTTTACCTTCTTCATCCTCGATTTCTGGCTGCTGCTGGGAGAAGACACGAATGCCGCTCTGTGCCGCCTGTTTTTTGAGGGGCAAGCGCTCCCACACACGTGTCAGGCCAGTGGACATAGTTATCCACTTGGGATTAGCTTTATATTGAGCTTTATCTTTCTAATTATGTATTTTATTAGAAAAAAATCACCGGGCCTTTACGTAAACCATGCGCCAGATTGTCATTCGCCCCGAAATATTTCTATCGATAAGAATATCGATATCAAATATATCAGAAACTTTTAAATTATTTAAAATTATAATTAAATTTAAAGTTGTTATTTTTTAACTTTAGACTTGCATATACATATGTATATGTACATATTATTATTATCTTTTTTTTTATATTTTCAACTAATGTAAACAAAATCATTTGTTTTTAGCCCCGTTTTCCCCAGTGTATTAGTGCATCACAAAAGGCATCGATATTGGCGAATTAGCGGATCATCTGAAAGTGCATCAAGTCCACGTCATAGTAATGTCCTCAGAATCTCGAAACGACATGCTAAAGGCTCTCGAGGAAACCGATCCTGGTGGCCACCTGCTCACGGTACTGCAATTCTACGCCTTTGATTTGGAAAATGGGAAATACTGCCACGACATGGCGGAACACTGCGTCCTAGAGGAGCTGCAGGGCACAGTCGAGATCTATAGGTATGGATCGGTGGTGACAGGATTGGCCCTGAAGGGTGAGTTCTTAGACTTCTTTGACAAAAAATAAATAAATAAAATGCCTGATATCTTCCGTTTTCACAGAGAGCGACATTGATTTGTTTTTGAGGCCCATCTCCAGCCCGCCCATCCTCTACGACGACGTGGTAAAGCGTCTTCGGCGCTCCAAGTGCTTCTGGAGGGTCACTCCCATTCGCAAGGCCCGAGTGCCTGTCATCCGGTGCGCTCATAATGCGACTGGTCTCAGAATGGACCTCAATATGTCCAACTCACATGGCGTGTTTAATTCTCGATTTGTGGCCGAGCTTTTGAAATGCGATCGGCGGCTACACCACCTATTTTTGTTCTTGAAGATCTGGGCTACGAAACTAAAGTTGATTGGACGTCACCACCTGACCAGCCATTGCCTGGTCAGCATGATCATCTTCAGCCTGCAGGTGCATCAACTACTGCCCTCCGTACAGCAGATGCAGGCGACCTGTCCACCGATCATTTATGAGGGCAATAATTTCGCATACAAGCTGCAGCCGGCGCCAAGGATTCCCGAAGATATGTCCACCCAGCAGTTAATTAATAATTTCTTTGGTTATTACACTACCTTCGACTTTGGTAAGTTCGTGGTTAGTCCATTTTTGGGACGTTGCCTGAACAGACACGAGAATGAGCATCTTGCCTTTCAACTGCATTGCAAAAACATCTGCGTTCAGGATCCTTTCGAGCTGAACCTGAATCTGGCCAAGTCTGTCAGTCAAAGAAATTTGGATTATTTTAGACAATGTCTAATGCTGTCGGCTCAGGCATATAGTGATAAGGATCTCAAATGGCAACCGAAGAAGCTCTATGACTACCTGTTCTTCGGAATAGCGGAAAAATTGACATATACTCCGGATAATCAAATAGTCAGACAGCCAACAAGGGTACCTGATGCAATGCAAAATACTAGTGCTCCGCACATTCCGATGACTACCTTTATCCAGCTCACAACAGAAGATTACCAAGGTTTACTTCCAATCAGGGAAGTAATGAAAACTGACAAAGAAGAGGCCACGTTTTTCACCTGGCACGCTTGCCAGTTGGCCACCATTATTGATGTGCTGACAGAAGTGTACGGCTTGAAGATCGAATCACAGGAGAATCAACTGGGCAGCAGCCGGATGCTTATCAGTGGCCAAGTAGACACTTGGAGTCGTCGCAATTTTATCCCGATGGCGAGTCAATCATTTCTAGCTCACCAACTGCAGCAATCGAGGAAGTTCTCTACGACCAGACCTGGAAATCCTGCCTATGCGGTCAACGTACGCGCCTATTTGACGGTGACATGGTATCAGGCAAAGAAACAATTGCAGATCAAAATGGAGCCAGTTTCGGACCCACTCCGTAACGCTCATCTGGAGAGGCTATTCTATGAGTTCAAGCGTCTCCTGAACAGATACAGCTTCAAGGAGCAGGCCAGCATTTGGTCGCTTGATACAATCTCAAATCAAGAAATATTGATTCTCAAAATAATTCTTGTGGCATTGTTTTTTCTATTCTCTATAATTCCAGGTCCTTTGTTTTTGATAATACTGTTCATTTTGGCAATACAGTTTCGGAATTTTTTAACACCTTTAATTTGTAGGTATTATTGGCGCCATTTAAATACATTAAGATTTAAAAAGAATGAATTGCACCCCAAATACCCTATTTATAGATAATTTTCAAAACAAGAAAGAAAACTTCGGGAAGCTAAATTTGTATACCGTTGGAGTTTCCCATAGAATCTCATGGCTTTTAATAAAAAATCGATCATAACTATGCCAAAAATGCATCAAATTGTATTCGAAAAGCTTCTCTGTGCTTGATTTTGTCTAGATTAACAAATCTGTATATTATATTTTTTTACTATGAAGGATGAACATTTATCTGCAAAGTTTTTTACTATTTTTCTAAATGTAACCCTTTCAAAATTTTCAAAGTTAATTATGGTTATTTTAGGGTCACCTTTTAAAAAATGTTGTGTCGAAACGGCTAAAGTTAGCTTAATAAATCCATTTACTACACAACAATTAAACAATTTTGTGTTAAATTTTATATCGAAAAATATTTAGAGGCAGAGAAGTTAGAAAATCTCCCGAGTGGCCTGTCCCAACTGTCCACAGAATGTTGTGATATCAAAAAATATAATGTATTCATTTAAGGATAAGATGTTTTGAGGTACCCAAGTGGCGTTTATATTTAAAAAAAAAATTTGTCCAGATTTTGTATCTAAATTGTAAGTCAAAAGCCCAATTGTAAACCTAAAAATAATATTAATAAACGAAAATAATATTTAAAATTAAAAAAGCTCAAAGTGAGTAGCATTAACATGGAACAAATTAAAAAAAAAAAAAAATTTTAATTAAAAATAGGAAAATATTTAAAATTAAAAAAAAAATTTCAAAGTGAGTACCAGTAGAAATAATTAAAGAAAATGTTTTAAAAAGTTTAAAACGATTAAGTACCTTAACCTTATAAGATGTTATTGCTGCTTTCCCCCGGAGTGAATAAAAAAATCCCCTGTCCAAGCAAATACATTCTTTTATATACACTTTTATTTTGGTAAAATAATAAAAAATATAACTTTCATGTACTGTAAATATGGCTTAATAGAAAGGATAAGTTCAATCACACCCATTCCGGAATCATCATCACTCGGCATTCCTCGTCTTTGTGCCTCCTCTTATGTACATACATTATTTTATGTAAAATATTGTTAGTAAAACAATAGAAAACATTACGTTATTGTGTTGTTAGCCCCGTGTGAACTACAGCTACTGTAAACCTAACTCCCCTTTAGTGGATTTCTTGCTTCCACTTGTCACGGGCCTCCAGCTTGGCCTCCGGCACCAGCGAGCTTTTGGCGCCGCCCAGAATATTGGTGGTGGCTTGGGTGGCCAGCACCGCGGGGCAGACAACAAGCTGAGGGATTTGGCGCACCACGGCGCCCACAGCTCCGCTGTAACCCTTCTGGTCGTGCTCCGTGATCGCCGCTTCGATGAGTGTGTTGGCCGAATCGTTGATGCCCTCCCTCACTATGGTGTAGGCATTGGCCACACCCTCACGCAGATCCTTGGGTCGTCCCTGTCGCCGCCTCTTGCCGCCATGCCGGCCGCCCTTCCGCTTCTTCAGCGATGGTCCCGCCGAGAGCATATCGAAGGTGGTCTCGGCTGTGAATTGCAGCAAATGTATGATCCTCGAGGTGATCTCCAAGGCGGCCAGTGCTGTGCGAGCCGTGAAACTCTGTGCTCCCAGCTGGAAGCCTCGAATGATTCGGCCATCCTTGTTGTACTGCTCGATGGGCAGGCGGAAGAGATCGTAGACGCCCTGAAAGAGCTGCAGGACTGCATTTGTGGGCCCAATGCCGCTCAAGATGTTGGGCAACTGGTTGCGTTTGATGTCCTTTAGCCACTCCTTGGCCAGAAATTCGCACAGCTTATTCCAGCCAAGGATGCCCCGACGATTGACGATCTCACGCAGGCAGATCCCAGATCCCTGGAGCTGAGCCAAGCCCATAATGAGTCCGGTGACGGGTCCCCGCGACAGTTCTATTCGCCTGCCATGGTAATCAAAGCAAATGGGCAAAGCAGGACTGAAGATCACCTCGCGGAAGAACACGGGCGTAGCAGTGGCCGGATCCTCCTCCAGCTCCGTGTCCAGGCTGTTCTCCTCAATCAGCACATTCAGATTTCGTTCGACCATCTCTTTGACCTCGGACTCGGCGGGCAGCTCGTCGGTTAGATCGTCCGGCAGCTTGCTAACTGACATCACTGGCATGTCTGTCGAATTGGAGGAGCCACTGCCCCCCGCTTTACTGGAGGAGCTGCTGCTGCTGCTGGAATTCCGGAACATACCCGAAAAGAAGTCCTCGAGGAAGAGCAGCGTATCCTGGTCGATGTTAAGTTTGATGGGCAGAATGGAGACGCGCAGGGAGCACTCCTCGGCGCTGCTCTTCTGCGGATTGGGACGCACATTTAGAGCTTTTACTATCACCATATTCTCGTCCGGTTTGTGGGACAAATTGTTGCCAGCGGGATGGTAGAGAAACTTGTTGATGTCCGAGGAGCGCAGCCGGTCCCTGATCTCGATTTCTGAGACCAGGAGCACCTGACGGGAGGAGTAAATGGATGTCAGGGGATAGGTTTCGTAGGAAAATCGAATCTTTGACAGCTGAATCTCCACCAGAACCTCCAAATTGCGATTGGAGCCCTTGGGCTCCTTGGGCAATCCTCTCTTTGAGCTTTTTCTCTCCGGCTTCTCTTGATCCTGTGCCTGGGACACGCCATACTTGTACGTATCAGACATGCCAAAGCCACTGGATGAGGCGGTTGTAGATCCTGACTTTTTGGGCGATTCATCGGGGAAATCCCTTCCGCCATAAAGATGCCAGGTGAAGGTCATTTCGCAGAGGGTATAACTGCTTTCGGCCACCGGGAAGTTGGCCGGCGGACGCAGCAAATCCACCTTTTCGTGGGGCAAGCAGAAGTGATTGTCCACAATCTGGAGCGGCTCCTCGGAGACGTAGATTTGCTTGACCCCGAACTTGTCCATGCGCGAGATCTCCTCGTCGTGGATAATATCAAAGTCGCGTTCCTCCATCAGAAGGGAACCGTTACCCAGTGATCCCAGCTCCAGTTGTACCTCGGACCCCAGACCCAGACTATCCTGCGACTGCTGCACCTGACTCTGTTCGTAGTAGGACTGCAGGATGACGTTGGACTCAAAGTCCAAGATGTCGCCAATCACCGAGGGGCTCTCCACCATCAGGGATTTGCTTTGCGGCTTCACCGGCGTCGATTTTCTCTTCTCCTTGGGCTCATCTGGGAAGTAGAAGATCTCAATGCCCTCCTCTCCTCCGTTTGGCGACTTGGTAACCCTGGGATTGGGCGAGCACTCCACATCCATCACAGCATCGGCCATTAGTTTGTTCACATGGTTTTGGGTTTGATCGCTCACTTCCTGATCTTCAAACGACTTGGGCTCTGCGGCTTGTGCGGCTTCCTCATTCAGCACGGGCTCCTCGGGCGGCGGTGTCAGGTCCCTATCGTTGGCCACATAAGCTATTAGCTGGGCCAGAGCCGAGGCCGAGTCGTAGCAGGTCATCATGTGCATGTCGTGAATGGAGGAGCGCAAATCCACCCGCGGCTGTCCCTTGCCCTCCTCGTTCAACCTGAAGGATATGTTGAGTAGGCCAAGGTTCAGCACTGGTATCATCGCCTCCTGGGACGCCGCAACCCAGCCCAACTGGAGCACACAGTCCTCGGCCAGGAGCCGCAGGGTACAGCCGCTCATGGAGGATATAATGTTGCTGCTCAGCGTGCAATAGCCCAGGTCCAGGAAGGCTCGCTGGGGGAAGAATCTCGGCCGGTAGTCAATGCCGGAATTCCAAACATGCAGCTGCAGCTCGGAGACCACGGCAAAGGGCTCGTACTCCTCGATGGGAAAGTCAGCCACGTCCATGAAGTCCATGAGTTGATTCAGCCAACTGTGCTCCGAGTGGCACGAGTGATGCTGCAGAATGGCTCCCGTAATGCCAAAGGACATCTTCATGCGCTTTATCCGCTGCTCCGGTTGCTTCTTGATCTCGGCCACCACGGACAGAACCTCCAGTCTCCTTCGGCCACCTGCCTGCTGAGTCTTGGGGAAATTGTGGATGGTGGGGAGTAGGTTCTTGTCGGGTAAATCACTCCAAGCTAGGTCTAGATCCTGTCGAGTGTGGCCACAATGCAGGGCCTCAATCTCGCCCAGCTGTATGCAAAAGAAGCTTCTGTTCGCATCGTTATCCAGGCCATTGACGGTGAAGAGACGCAGTTCCTTGAGATTCACCTGGAACTTGCCGCACTCCTTGGCCCGCTGATTGGTCTCGGGATCCAGGAAGTGAGAAAATAGGATCAGGGAACCCTCCTCCACAAATAGCTCGAAGGAGAAGGCTTCATTGGGAATCTTGGCCACAGGAGGCGGCGGCGGAGGAGGATTAGAAGCCGCCATGGAAAAGTAAATGCTGCTCTCCATGGCGCTGGTACTGAGAAGTTGATTCCGCCGGAACTCCTCCAGCTGCGGCTCAGCCTCCAAGTGCCTACCCTCTCCCGTTTCCCCCTCTGGGTTAATTTCGTAGTGCGGCGAACGTGGCTCCCACATGAAGAGATCACCATTCAGGCGATTGTATATCAACTCGTACATCTCCTTGGACTCCAGCACCACCTTGACCAGCGGAATGAAGGCGAAGATCTTCAGCTTGGAGGCTTGAGTGCAGCTATCGCAAAATTCATTGATCTCCTCCGTCTCCCCGGGCAACAGGGAATCCGTTTTGTCCAAGCTACTGTCCAAACCCTCCACGTGGGACGTATAACCAAAGGTACACTTTGAGCTAAAGGGTGACTTACGCGGTGGCTTCTTTGCTCCGGCTTCACTGCTCTCCCTCAGCTGGAGCACATCGATTTGGATCTTCTTCTTGTTCGACTGCTGGCACCTCAGCAGATGCACGGCACTCTGCTTCTCCGCATCGCAGTAATACGCCTCCAGTTCATCCGAAGCAATGCTGATCTGAGACCTGAAGCTGACCACCAGCGAACGGAATTCCAGGGCAAGGAAATCCTGACGTACGTTCTTCTGCCACCAGGGTATCTTTTGCGGATCATTGGCCGCCCTGCCATCTACCACTGGGAAACGCAGCTGCAGGCGAAGATTCTCGCATTTTACACTCAACTCCGTTTGATTGGGATCAGAATCAGGATAAACCTCAGCCGGAGCAACTGCCTCCGAATCCCTGGCAAAGGGGGAACTGCCAAAGAGGGCTCCCAGTCGATCGTAAATGGATATATCCAGTTCCGCTGTGCATTCATCCAGAATACATTCGATTTTGTTGGTGCAACGATTGTGGTTCTGCTTGAACATAAACGAGGAACTCTGGGTGATTACGATCTCGGGTCGGATGTGATAGCCATCCGGGCAGTTTCGCTGGCGATCGAACAGCAGCAGGTGCTCGCGGACCTCATCCAGAATCTCGCAGAGATCCACCGCCGTCGCCGACAGAGTTGTTCGCGATGTGAGCTCCTGGAAGTAACGCTGCTGGCTGCCACTCACTATGATCGGAGCGGCGCGCAAGAGGAGATAATGCTGCTGCTCCAGGGGCAGGTGATGCTCGAGGAGGGCGCCCCGAAAGAAACCACTGGCAGTGTCCGAATATCGTTGGTAGCTCGCCTGATCAAAGACCCTGCTGCAGCTATCAATGTGGGCGGTATTCTGGATGAGAATATCATTGTGCAGCGCCACGCCATATAGTTTGGAGATTTGCACCTTGAACTTGAGTATCTCCCCGGACTTTTCCGTGTAGCCCAGCTCCTGCTGCAGCGTATTTGTGCAGGATGTGAGCATGCTGTTGGTGGACTCACTCATTTTTCTGCTACGCGCGTAAACGCTGCGGGGGGCAAAGCTTCCGCCACCCGAGTATTCCGAAGGTTCCGGCTCCGTTAGACCCGTTGACCAGTCCGCATTCTGGCCAAGGATTCCCGTCATCCTGGTGGGCTGCTGCTGCTGCTGTTGGTACTCACTGGGCGGCGCTGACTTGAGGCTGCGTCCCTTCTTCGGTCGCTCCTGCTGCCCGCCGCTATTAAAGCCCTTGGAGAGCTCCACGAGCAGGTGTATCTGCCGGGGCGTGAGCATAAAGTAGATGTCGTCCAGGCTGAGTTCTAGGCTCACCTTGGGCCCCACTATATTCTCCGTCTGCTTGATATTGATCTGTATGTTCTGGGCGCCCTTCAGCTCAACGATCTTGCACAGCTGCTCGTAGGGAGTGGGCAGGTAGACGTCCAGGACCTCGGAGGTGTGCAGACTCAGTCCCTCGATCACCAGATTGTGCTTGGCTATCATGGGCAGGGCATTAAAGCTGCCATTGGGATCCTCCTCGTGCGTCTCCGTCTCCGTATCGGTGTTCTGGGAGGTGGACATGGACATCATCTCGTAGCCCGTCTTATTCTTGTACTCCACATGGCTGGCCTGGACGGAGAGCACCAGTTTCCGGTCCGAGCGAGGCAGCAGATACTCAATATTTAGCGTTGTGTTCGTTAGCTTGGCGCGAATGCGATTCAGCACATTGTCAATGGTCTCCGCGAACTTCTCCAGCCCGATCAGGGCGTTATTGTGATTCAGGAAGGGTACATCGTCATCCACCTGCTTCATGCACTCCTCGGCCATTTGCATGGAGCTGCTAACCGATGACCACATGGATTCCAGCATCGTGGTGCCGCTCTGGTGTCGCGTAACAGGGCGCAGGGTTATCGTCAAGTTGGAGATCTCCAGGCTGCTGTCGTTGGTCATCAGGGCATTCCAGGGCACGACCACGGTCAGGCAGCCGATGTGACCCGATACCACCTCAAAGGCCCAGCCCTGATCCTCGAAGAGATCGTTGAAAGCGTCCACTTTTAGGAATATATCCTCCACCACCGCCTTGCCATTGTAGAGATCCACCTTTAGCTGCTCCAAATTCAGGTTATTCTCGAAAAATTGACCCAAATAACGCTGCAGGAGGTAGCGACACATCTTGGTCTTGAGGCCATCCCAGGGATTGAACCACGACATGGTCAATGCTCTGATCACAATCCCAAGGTTTTCCGCTTTGTGCGTTTTACTTTATTTCTCCAGCGAGGGCAGCAGCAGCAGCAACAATAACAACACCAGACCTTTGTTATTGTTTTCTTTTAAGGGAACACGGAAATGTGGCAAATAAACGCAGTTTAAACGCTATTCGGGTCTCGCCACTTACTTTTTAGGGTGTTCTTTGCTTGGTGGCGGCTGCTGGCGCCAATATATGTGCATTATTTTTGCAAAATAGTGAAAATAATGAATAAATAAAGCGCAGTTCCAAAAGTCTTGTTTTTCTCTTTTTTGTTGCTGGGCCAATGTGACCAGACGATGCTTGTTCCTTATTCCAGGCCAAACAGCTGTTGCTGCCACCTGGTCACTCTCCTGCAGCAACAAATGGCCTCGAGCAGCTGTTGTTCCCAGTGTTGGTAAACCCGCCAAGTCTAAGAACAGCTGTTGGCACGAAAAGTTCTTAATTATATTTTTGTTCTCGGTTGTTTTTCTCTTTTGTTTGGCTTTTATTTACATTTATCATGTTTCTGTTGACTTTGTTCGCCGTTTTGTGCCTTGGCTTGGCCTGCAGCGAGGCCAAGTCCATCAAGAAGTCGCATGTTAACATGCCGGAGCCAACTCTGGGCACGGACGACGACTGGCAGGGCAAGTGGTTCCCCTATGCTCCCGGCGAGCCCCACATCCCCCAGAATGTGCAACGTGTGCAGGCAACGGCATCGACTTTACCTACTGATAATTGGACGGGCAAGTGGTTTCCCTATGTGCCAGGAGAACCGCATGTGGTTAAGGTGGCGCCGCAGGAGGGCAGCACCACTCCAAAGGATAGCTGGACAGGCAAATATTTTCCCCAAAGTCCAAATGAGCCGCACAAAGTACACAAAAAGCCCCTCGTCGAGGAGAACACTCAGTCCCTTAATGAAATCATCTGCGATAATGGAAAGGTGAGTGATAAAATAAGGGATTTCCCCCAAATAAAACTTATTTTGGTGGTTATTTTTATATTCCAGAGTAACCTTCGCCTGGATTACGATCCGAATGACATCCGGGATAGCCTGAATTACCTGTGCATCAGCAGCAATCGCAGTCAGTACCAGCCGGACTTGACCAGAGAGGCCCTACTCACAGAGCACTTTCTGCCCAGCGCCTATTTGCCGCCAGCAAAGTGCATGAATGAGTCAATCGAATACACCCATTTGCCAGTCACCAAGTAAACCAACGAACTTAGTATTCCTTTGAATCCACTTTCCTTAATTTGAATCTTGAATTGAATTTCCAGTGGCCCCTATCGTCCTTTGCCCGCTGAATATGGCGTGTACTCCTATCTGCCGCCACAACGTTACCTGCGCAATCTGGCCGAGGGCGCCATTGTGATGCTCCATCATCCCTGCGCCTCTCCCGGCCAAGTGGCGGAGCTGCAGCACATGGTTAGCGGCTGCCTGTATCGCCATTTGATCTCGCCCTCACAGACTCTCAGTGCCGAGCGTCCGTTGGCCCTGCTTGCCTGGAGCCGCAGCCTGGAGATGTCCGTGGTGGACCGCCGACTGGTGGCGGACTTTATACAGAAACATGCCAAGCAAGGACCACTCGCGCTGGAGGAACTGTCGCGGGTGGTGGACAAGAGGGAGGCCTACAAAGAGGGACTGACAACGGAGGCGCGCTTGGTTACCACGGCGGATGACTACGAGCTGTGCGGTTACATGCGGGAGGGGATGTAGGCGGGAATATGTTAACTATTTTTTTGCAATGACAGTAACATGTAAATAAACTTCGAATATTTTTAAATTTGTTTAATATATCAAGAGTCATTTTTGAACATATAACCATATATATTCCTGATCACCGAAAGAAAAACAAATTTTTATATGTTTTTCAAAGTTTTTTAAAAATATATTTTTTTTAATTTTAAATTAAATTTAATTTAATAATTAAAAAAATTAATAATTTAATTAATTAGTTAATTAATTTATTTTTTATTTAATATTCAATTTTTTAAATCCTATCGTGTTTTCGATATCGCACAGTTTAGCCATCGATACATCTCTTGTGCAATCGATTTTATTCCATCTCTAGTTCGGTTCCGTTTAGTTCTCTTTCTCCAGATAAAATCAACTTCAATAAACGATCGGCCATTGGATCGCCGCCTGGGCTCACCCGCACCCGCAACAACGTCGCCAGCTCTATCCGACGACGGCCATAGCCTATAATAACCACCTCCCGCAATCCCGGAAACTGCCTTCCACCAGCACCGAAAAACGTACGAAGAAGAGGAAGCAGCAACAGCAGCGGCGGCGGAGCAGCAACAACAACAAGAACAATAACAGAGGAGAGGTGAAACAAAGGAGAAGCCGAAGCCAACTTAAAAACAATTAAAGCGTCGATTTGTCGGCGACATAACGTCGGAATATCACGTGATTGGGCAGCGAAAGTTGGTTCGATTTATCCCTGGGAGTGTCACAGCGCCTTTTCTGTTCATATCCTAGATATCCTGCTTGGATTTCAGGCTTTACATAACATCTGCGGCGGTTGCAGGACCCATTGAAGGAGAATTGGGAAAGAAGGAGCTGAGTAAAGCAACTAGTTTAAAATATCACCCGCCCTAAGAGACCAACTAAAAGGACCTAAAGCAGCACCAAAAAGAGCTTGAAAAGATCAGGGAAAGCAGCACTTACCAAAGCACAAAAGAGTTTCAATAGTAACCGCAAATATTCCCCTACCATAACCATGAACAACCTAGCCGACACCGTTGTCGTTGATCCCGGCTTTGGCGGCGGCGACAAGCAACAACAGGCTGGACCAGCTCCGCAGGATGCCAGTGTGGTGGTGCCACCGCCAGCCACCAAGCAATCCTCTGCTCTGAAGAAGACCAGTCGCTATCGGAGCCGCTCGCTAAGTGCCTCCTCCACGGACTCCTTCAGCTCCGCCAGCTACACGGGCAGCAGTGAGGATGGAGACGATGTGCCGCCACGCGAAAAAGTCCAAAAGAACTCGCGTGGCAGCTCCGATTTCTGTGTAAGGAACATTGCCGCCCAGCATGCCTTCGGACGCAGGGAAATCGAGATTGCGGAACAGGAGATGCCGGGAATTATGGCGCTGAGGAAGCGAGCGGCCGAGGACAAGCCATTGAAGGATGCCAAGATTGTGGGATGCACACACATCAATGCCCAGACAGCTGTGCTCATCGAGACGCTCGTGGAGCTGGGTGCCAGTGTGCGCTGGGCCGCCTGTAACATCTATTCCACACAGGTGAGTTCTAAAACGTCACATTTTACATTTTTTTATGATGTTTTAAATGGGAATTCGGTCCGAAATTCATTTACTGCTCATGAATTTGCAATGTCATGTGCTGAATGTAAATCGACAAACAGTTACATTTATTATTCGTCACGAAAACAGATAGCCAAGATTTGTACTCATTTCTATTCCATTTAAATCTATTTAAATTCATATTTATATTCGAGTTTGGGTCACTTGATCTGGCTGCTGGCTGCTTGGAGGCAATTGTTGTCATGCCAGGCGGTGGCGGCGGCGGCGCAAACAAATGATCAATCAAGCCCATGTTAATCAATTAAGCGCCTGCGGCTCAAGTGTTTGGCAATCGCTGAGTAATTGATGTGCCCTGAATTGGGTCGCCGCAGCCGCAGTTCCATTTCCAGCATCGATTCGCTGCTCCTGCTCCGTAACTGATGCAATTATCACGAGTCTGCTAAGAGAGTGAGAGACTCTAAGCAATTTATGGGTCCTCTAATGAAGCGATCTAAGTGCCAGGGCACATACTCTTTCCACCCTATCCATCTCAGGTTTTTTTATCGCCAAACGTCCCCGACAGGCCGTCACGCTGATTCACCTGTATCACCTGGAGGCTTATCAGCTCTGAGTTCCCACTGCCAAGTGCCAAGTGCCGTGCTTAGCGAGGGTGCAGCCCAATTCCCTATCAGTCCAGATATAAGCCCGATATTACCCCATGTTTACACCGCATTTGCGTGATTCGATTTATCAGAAAAATATATAGACTTTTGCAACATACTAAGACATATTTATTTAAGATTTCTTGCTGCATTGATAAACTCCAAGTCTTGAGATATTTAATTGGTTCATTTTCTATAGGAAACAAGGGTTTTTGAAATAGATTTCGGAAATATATGTTTCCAAATACGTTTATATAGCGGAGAATGGGCAGATTTATCGATAAATCAATCGGAAAAATGACGATATTGTCGATAAAATGGTTTCTCTTAAATTTTACCTTTAATTTTATGTTTTTAAATGACGAATTGTAGGTATTAATAACCTACTTTAGTAGTATTGCCGATCCCTATATACCCTATCAACCCCATATAAGCCCCATAATACCCTAGATTATATAGCTTTTAGATTCTCTGAACATTCAGATCAATTTGTATTCAGCAATAATAGTTCTAAATTTAATAATGACCTTCAAGGCAATGAGAAATCGATTTAGGTTGCTAAAAAATAAATTGTGCGTCAGAAACCAACTTAATCACGGGTATAAAAGTGTTTTAGAATGATAAATTAATGTATGCATATTACTTAGGCACTAAAAACAAATAATAAAAGAGAAACTGGCTGAATAGATGATTAAAAATTAAAGAAACAAAAAATATTTACCAAAAAATTTAAAAATTCGCAAATAAAATCTTAAATTTGCATTATAAAATCCCACTTATAATACGAAATTATTTCCAGAATGAAGTGGCCGCCGCTTTGGCCGAATCTGGTATACCAATCTTTGCCTGGCGCGGCGAAACGGAGGAGGACTTTTGGTGGTGCATCGATCGCTGCGTAAATGCCGAAAACTGGCAGCCCAACATGATACTGGACGACGGCGGCGATGCCACGCATTTGATGCTGAAGAAGTACCCAACCATGTTTAAGCTGGTGAAGGGCATTGTGGAGGAGAGCGTCACTGGAGTCCATAGACTCTATCAGCTGTCAAAGGCCGGCAAACTGACGGTGCCGGCAATGAATGTCAATGATTCGGTGACCAAGACCAAGTTCGACAACCTGTACAGTTGCAAGGAGTCCATTCTGGACAGCTTGAAGCGCTCCACGGACGTGATGTTTGGCGGGAAGCAGGTGGTTGTCTGTGGTTACGGCGATGTGGGCAAGGGCTGTGCTCAGGCCTTGAAGGGACAGGTGAGAATTAAATGGAATTGCATCAAATTTTCTGTATATAAAACTCAATTCTTTTAGGGCTGCATTGTGTACATCACCGAGATCGATCCTATCTGCGCCCTGCAGGCCAGCATGGACGGCTTCCGTGTGGTGAAGCTGAACGAGGTCATCCGCAACGTGGACATCGTGGTGACGGCAACGGGCAACAAGAATGTGGTGGTGCGCGAGCACATGGACAAGATGAAGAGTGGCTGTATTGTCTGCAACATGGGTCACTCCAACACGGAGATCGATGTGAACGGTCTACGCACACCGGATTTGACCTGGGAGAAGGTGCGCTCCCAAGTGGATCACATCATTTGGCCCGAGGGCAAGTACATTATCCTCCTGGCCGAGGGCAGGCTTGTGAACCTGAGCTGCTCCAGCATCCCTTCGTTTGCCGTGTCCATCACATCGGCCACCCAGGCGTTGGCCCTAATTGAACTTTTTAATGCCCCGCCCGGTCGATACAAGTCGGATGTCTACTTGCTGCCCAAGAAGATGGACGAGTATGTGGCCAGCCTGCACCTGCCCACCTTCGATGCTCATCTCACGGAGCTGAGTGACGAGCAGGCCAAGTATATGGGTCTAAACAAGGCCGGTCCTTTCAAGCCCAACTACTATCGTTACTAAAAAGGGGAGGCAAGAGGCGCAGATGCGGACAATAACACACCAGCAATTATGAGAAGAAGCAACAACAAGAACAAGAACAACAAACAACGCCAACGAAAGTATTGTCTTTGCGAAGAAGTAAAACTATTTAAACAATTGTTGACACACACACACAAACACACACACGGAACACACAAAATGATAAGGAGAAGGAGAACACAAAGTTACTATTACCATTGTATCGCTTAGTTTAGCTCGAGCAGAATTCTTGGTTGCTTTTTTGTTAGCATTTAACAACGTCTTCGATATCTAGTATTTAGAACTCGCTTTAGCCGCAGGAGTATTGTCTCTGTTCACTAACCCCCCCTGGACTCTCTTACTTAACTATTAACTAATCTTGCCCCTTGAGAATTTACACCCCTTGAAATGTTTTATATTGCTGGTTGAATTTATTTTAGATAGTTCGTTCGCTTGCCTAATTAGTTCTGGTTGAAATATCCAACTGAATAACAGGATAATGTCAGGATTAACTAGTTTCAAGCTGTACTAATTATGCCAAGTGATCGATATTTAGTCTCTTGTATTTGTTTACGTACTTAATTTGTTAAACGTTTATGCTGCTCCCCGCTTTTTCACCTTTCGTTTCGTCCGAAGAGGAGTGTTGATTGAAATGCAGTGCAAAGTAATTCCATTTATTCAATTATATACACGCTGGCATATATATCAGATCGAGAATTATATATATATATACACTGCATATACACACCTTATATGTATATTAGAAAGAAAAAAGTGAAAAATGTTTGTATGAAAAATTGTGAGAAACGCAAAAACAATAAAAAAAACAGATTCTTTATTGAGCAAAAACCTTTCGAGATCATAGATGGGCTTTGAGCTTAAAGATCGTAGCATGTGTAATGTATATTTTGCTTTTATAAAACTTAACCAGAGAATGAATGTGTATATTTTGCTTTTGTATTCATTTTACGGATGTTATTTGATGAATACAACGTGTTTGAATTGCTCTTTCACTTGTTATTCCAAAATTCCCCCCCAAAATAATTAGAAACCTTTTTCACCGAGTTTATTTCAGATGCATCACTCGTCTATTTCTCTTTTTATTAATCAATATTTTTGCCTTAAACTTGTTATATTTTCTCTTTGATACTTTTATTAAATGTAAACTACACAAGAGAGTTTGTTTGTTACCAAAAAATTATACAAATCGTTCTGTATTCGTTACTTTCTTTCTCTTAATTTCTTCGTTTTTGTCGTCGTTCTTCTTTTTCTTGATAATTGTATAAACTTTTCTTTTTTTAGATTACTTAAAATGTCGTAGACTACATAAAAATGCTTGTGTAGACGCGTCTTAATTAATGGTTAATGCTAAAAACACATGCCAACTAAGTCTTAACCAAAAGTGGAAAAAACGAATCTAAGCGGAGCCGAAAGTTTGCCAGACAGCGGTGGAAACTAAGCTAGTGTGTGTGGCGTATTTGCATCTGGAGAGCTGGTAGGCTGGAGAGGATGGGTGGGGCCTTAGTCGAGGAAGTGCGGCTTGAGGTGCTTCAACATGCCGAAGGTGCGGAAGCGGCGGATCTTCATCACCTTCATCAGCTCGTCGTCACAGATGGCGAACTGCTTGTTCTTCGGATCGTACAGATCCCGCTCCTTGATGATGGCCCAGACCTTCTTGACCACCTCGTGACGTGGCAGGGATGGGGCGCCCATGAGGGCGCTCAGTTCCGGCGACAGGTTGTAGGCGCGCGTGAAGCCTGTGCTCTTCCTGGCGGCGCCACTGGCAGTAGTTCCGCCGGCAGACTTGGCCTTCTTCTTGGCGGCCGGCTTCTTCACCACCTCGTAGTCGGAGTCGGAGCCAGCATCGCTCTCCGTTCCCGAATCGTCGGCATTGAGGGTCTTGCGCTTCTTCTTCGGACCCGTCTTGTGCTTGATGGGCTGGCCCCGCTTCTTGGGACCCGGCTTCTTCTTCTGCTTCTGGGCCTCCTCTTCGCTGCTGCTGTTGTTCTCCACCTCGCTGGACTCGCTCTCGTCGTCGGGATCGGCGTCCGGATCCTTGCCGTCGTCGTCCTCGTCATCCTCCTCGTCCTGCTGCTCGTTGATCACATCCATGACGATCTTGTCGAACTCCTTCTTGCGGTTCAGCAGCGAGCAGTTCAGCTTCCCCTCCACCTGCTCGCGCACACGTTTGGCCGAGATGGTGGACAGGTCGGCATCCTTTAGCACCGACTGTATTTCGCGGCGCAGGTCCTCGCTGGAGATGTCCGACATCTTGTTCGCAGACGCGTCTTATTTCTCGGACTGGGACACGTTTTCAGTGAGTCTGCAACTGTTCTTGGTTATGCCGGCTTGTCACCCAATCCTCGCCAGACCGATTCGTTTACCTGTGGCTCGCTTTTCAGTGCTACTTTCTTTTCCTCGCCGATTTTCCGGTGCTCGTTTTTTTCGTTTTTTTTTTTTACCAGTCGGCGTCTCCACAGGGTTGCAGTTAGGGTTGTTGATAATATATCAAAATATCAATATATCGATATTTTTTTTCTGAAAATGATATATTTATATCGTAATTTTTTTTTGCCCAAATATCGAAATCACGATATTTTTTTATGATATTTTTTGATACTTTTTCTTTCGATGGAAAAAGGAAACTTCTTTAAAAAAAAGAATATGAATGTAAAATCTAATTACATAAACATAACAAACGGCACAGCGAAGTCGAAGCTTTGCGAAAAAGTGTTTAAGACGAGTGGAAATTCATCAAACTTGTCGTCGCACTTGCGAAATAAACATGCAGAAACTTGTCGTCTTTTTATTTAGAGTATTCCCTTAACTGTTGAATCGCAGAATCTTTGAAAATTCAAGAAAAATTGTCGACAGTTAAAGGAATCCCCTAATTGTGCAGTAAAAACCATGTTTTTTTATTTAACAAAAAAATATCAAAAATTTCAAATATATCGATATTTTTTTTTGATATTTTAAATATTATTATCATCTCTTCCAAAAAAAAAAAATATCATCGATACGATATTTTTTTCAAATTTCGACAACCCTAGTTGCAGTTGTTGATTTTTTTGCCCGAATAACGAAATCGCGACATTTTTGTTGATATTTTTTTATATTTTCTGCTTGGTCACTCTGAATCAAAGCAAAATGTAGGTCTGGCACTTTTGGTCGCTGGGACTTGACGATCTGGCACTTTTGGTCGCTTGTTCGCGCGAAGTCTGGCAACGCTGGTTGCTCATGCCACGAGCGACCAGAGTTGCCAGATCGTCAGTGCATGAGCGACCAAAAGTACCAGATCGTCAGTGCACGAGCGACCAAAAGTGCCAGATCAAAATACTTAATCGACTATTCGATAAAAAAAAGTCTTCAGTAATCGATACCAACGCCGGAACGAAAATAAAATACAACAAAAAAGGCGATTTTAACAACATTTAATTGTTTAAAGTGCTTTTTCCGCCTCCGTTCGGTCCCCCAATGTGCAATAAACAATTACACGCATCGTCGGCCGTCCACGTGTCGCGGAAAACCCGAAAAGTGCAGCAGCTGCAGCAACAATAACAGTGGGCACAAATGAGGTAATTTTGCTATTTTTTATGCTGTTTTATTGTTTAAATATATACATAGCTGTGGATGCGCGATTGTGTGGGTGCGTGTGTGTAATGTGCGTGTGCTCCCCGTCTCAAATGTGATATTTTCAGTGCAATTTGGAGCTCTGCACGAATTTCTCATGCAGCCCCCTTTTATTTAATGGCATTTATGTACATTTATGTGTGTACGACTGGCATTATGTGTGTTTTATTATCATTTATCGTGGGATTCGCAAAGTTTTCGCTGGCTCGCTGTCCCCTCTTATTCGCCTCTCGCTGCTCCGCTTTGTGCTTCTGCTTCGCGTCTTTGTTTTGCCGGCGTTTCGACGAGTTTGTTGTTTCATTTTCTTCTTTTTGCTGCGACGCCCTTTTTCCAATTGGAGTCTGGCTTGGTACCCCAATCCCAATAAGGTTTATGCTTTGTTCATATATTCTTGATCAGCATCAACAGCCGAGTAGATCTAGCCAACTAGTCCCTCAGTTTTGAAACTACACATTTTAAATTATCAAAAAAATTATTAATTTGTGGAAAAAATGATAAAAAGTGTTTAAAAGAGTAACAAAACACTAGTTAATAAATATGTATAGTTCTAAAGTAAGGTCGATTGAAAAGAAATACATTCAATGTAGTGTATTCGGATAACTTATTCCTAAGTGTTATATTTTTTACGTGCCTACGGCGGTTAAGGTGTCAATATCTCGGATTTGTATATTTTTTATTATTTATACTTGCTAACCGCAGTTATTATGAATTATAAGTTTTCCTTCAGCTCTTGCTTCGGTACATGTACTGATATTGATACAAGAATAAATGCTAAGGCTTTGTTGCAATCCGAAAGTTGATAAGAAATAATTATCCACTCACTAAACCCAATGAAAATAAAAGAATTATAATATATCTAAGAAATTATAAAGCGTATCCGCAGTTGGTTTACTTGTTTTTTATAGAATATAATCAGCATTTCTATAAACACAAAGAGTATTCAGTATTCGTTTATCTTCCCATATTTTTCTTACAAATCTTTTGTGTATTTTGTAACATTATTAGTCGATTTGAATATTTATTTATTGCAGCGGCTGTGCTCCGTGTTGTCAGTCATCCATTTGCCTATTTTTTCTCAGGTTTTTTTTAATCTATTTTGTGGCTTGTTGTCGCCCAACAGTGCCTACTGAAAGCGTGTGATCTCTACCTGTTGCTAAACCACCCACAAAACTGAAGGCATACTTTTCACTGGCAGTGTAGACAAATTTAATGTTTCAGCGTTATTTTTTTCTGTTTTGGACCAATTAGATGTTCTTGGCATAGTTTTTTCTCACATCTTTCCATGATCTAACATTGCTCATTTAAGTAATCACATAAATTATCGCAGATTATGAAATCAGCCAGCGAAATCGGCTGTTGTTTTTGAAGCTTTTTTGGAAATTTAATTGGGCTCCTTGGGGACAGGTTTTTTAAAATTAGCATTAAAATATACGTATGGATTTAATATAATAATTCATTGTTTTGGGATTAAAAAAAATATAACAATACTGGAATAGTTATGGTAATTGTTCATGCATTTTTTCTTAATAACAACTACGACGTTTATAAATTGTTTTAAGGATGTTAAAGCATTTATCTAAGCAATTTTATAATTCTTCTACAAATTACTATATTTAATTTTTTTAATTTTTCTTATATAGTTTACGTAACTAACTCATATGTTATAGTATTTATTTCCCTTTCGAAATGCAAATTACTTAGTTTTGAATTTGTTGGTCTAACTGCAGGCTTTCTTGAGCGGGGGGCACGAAAATATCTTGAAATTTCCCGCTGTCTTCCCGATGATCTTTGTTTATAGCTGCTTTAAAACTAAATGCTCGCCGTTTCGTCATTATGAAACGACGTCAAAGTAAAAGCACCAAAGAACTTTCGCACGGTGAAAAAATGTTTTTCAATTTTTCGCCGTTGCCGATACCTCTCTGCCTCTGAAAACTTTTCTTCGCCCACACCAAAAATACTCTGACGCGCTCGATTTGTGTTAGTCTTGGTGCCTTCTCGTTCCCACATTTTTTATGCTACCCGCTTTATAATTTATGCATATAAAACAATAAAGAAAATAAATAAATAAGCAATGCCTGCATTAAGACATTCGGTTCTACAGTGGGGTGTCTGGACTGGACTGGGCTGCACAGTGGGCCATAAAAGTCAGCCCACTCATAACTCATAGGCCAAACTATTCGAATGTGACCCTGGGCGAGGTGCTTGACAGTGGCAACAATTAAATGCACACACACACATTTGAATATAAATAGTTTTATGTTTCTAGCATGTGCACCATAAATTTTGCCCGGCGAATGGCAAAATTCGCGAATAAATTCCCTTTTTTTCGGTGCATTTGTTTGGCCCTGACATTGCACTTGCAACAGCAACATGGAAAATAGAAAATGGAATGGGATTGTGCAAATGCAGCAGATGGAAAATGAAAATGGCAATAAATATGTAGTTTCTCATGAAAAATTGTTCACTTTGTTTATGACAATTTCCAAAATTGAAGACTGCAACGCAAAGGCAAAAGAAAATATGAAGAATTTGAATCAAACTGGATTTAGCAACAAGTACAGTGGGTTACATATGGAGGGATTTTTTATTCATAAAAAAGATTCATCATTAGTGATTTTTTCTTTCATAATATTATGAATAATTACTTATTTTCATTTATTTCATTAATTTATTGTTATTTTATTAACAATTTTTTTATAAATTGATTTGCTTAATTGGTTCTTTAGAATTTAAGGTATTTCAAGTGCTATTTTAAGGTTATTTAAGAGCTCTTTTCTCAGTAACTTCTGCTGACAGCAAGAACTTTCCAACTTCAAATCACATAAAGTATTACAAAAACCAAAAACTGAAGTTTACCCATATTGAAGATATAAGGCCTATATTTTTCCGATACTCACTGTACTTAAAGGGGGCCTGGGAATAGTTCTTGGATATGCCCACGTAAAGGCGTCATAAAAAACACGCCCACAGCCCATGACACAATCGAAGAATAGACGCTGCGCCTGGGTAATCCGCCGGCCCATTTCCCCGTATTTTCCTTGAATTTACCCACAGGGGAGGTTGTCTTTTGACTTCGTCGAACACTTGCGCCCAATTTGGCCATAAATTTGAAAAATGATTTTCTACAAAATTCTGCACTCCTCCTCGATGTCGAGAATTTCTGTGTCGCTAAATCGAATCAAACGAACGAGAACGACAACGACGACAACAACAAAAGTCAGAGGAGCTGAGTCAATTTTCTTATTTTTAGTACATACACGGCTTGTGCTTTTATTTTATTCTCTTAAATGTATATTTCTATTTGCGATAAAAAATATAATTGTGCTAAATTTAACCAAATTAGTTGTTGTCGCCCGTTCTAAATTTATATTTGCAATTTACTTTGATTCTATATGCCTCGCCTCAGCATCGATCGAAAGAGTATAATATTGATCGGGGATTAGTCATGCAGGTGGTTCTCTCTATTTATCTCAAACGGCCCACCAGAATCGAATTTGAATTGATTTCGCAGTTTGTGTTTAGAAAATTCAACGAGCATCTCATAAATTATATTTTATATCTGGAATCGGTTCCCCAACGTCCAATTGCCCAATTTGTGAATTTGTTTATTGGCGCAAAAAATTATGCTCCGATCGGGCGAAAGTTATTTCAGAAAATGTTGCTTTTCAAGGTCGTTGGAGCTCGGGGGATGCTTTGCAAAGGATTTTGTGCAGTTAAGATCTCATTGGACGCCGGCCAAATAATAAATATTATTTTTTCGCATTTTTCATTTGGCATATCTTATTGTTGCTCCTTGATATGGGGCTAAGAAAAAATAGAAATAGAAGAAATGTCTCCGACGACTGGACAAAAAATAAAAAATCAAATGTGGAAATATATTTTAGGAAGTCGTGCATAAATAAAAAAAAGTATATCACTTTATATATATTTATTTTTGACTATATATATATTTGGAATTTGTGATTGAATTAGGATACGTTGAACTTTAATGTCAAGCATTGGATTTATATTAGATTCATTTTGCTAAATTTGAAATGTCTGTCTTGATATGTATGCTATTATTGGTATTTTTATTTCAAGAAGTATTAAGAAATTGATAAATAAAGTTAATAAACAAACCGGAAATCGTCTTTATTTTTTAAATATTATTTAAACTTTAAAAAGTCTTGGGATACGAATTAAACCAAATGTTAAAATTGATTTTACAGTTTTAAAATATTATAAAAAAATACTTATAATGTATAAGTTAGAATTTAAAGCTAAGAGGGCTGTTAATTTAATTCTGATAAATTGATTACAGATACATACAAATTTGTAACTATTCATTTAATGCTTTCTTAATTTCCGTTTCCTTAATTTAAAAGAAAATAAATCTTAAAAATAATGCAATAGTTTTTATTTATTATAAAACCAAACGAAACACTTAAAATCCCATTAATTGCCAAGTTATGACAACCAAGGTTCTTTTCTCCTGTTTTTCCAATCATCTTCAACCTTTGAGAGACCTTCGCTAATTTTTTTCCAACTGTAGAACAAGATTAAACTAAGTACGGGGCACTTGCGCATGCCTTGACCCAGAAACCCACTTAGTAGGGATGTTAAAACGTTGGTGATATCCTAAATGCCCGACCAAATGGCAACTCTCAATTTGGTGTAGAGTGCACGGGCGAAAAAGACCGAAAACTTTTTTTTTTTGAAAACTTTTCGAAATTAAGAGCCGTGCGCCGATCGTACAGAGAGAGCCACAGAGTGGATCTTGGCCGTCGCGTAGTTCTATTTTCGAAAAAGCGTTTTCGAAACGCTGAGTGTGAAAGAGCGGACGCATTTTCGTATAGGAAATGTGAAAGTTCATTGTTTCATTGAGGAAAACTGGTGAAAAAGTCAAATTATCTAACAGTGGCGAGAGGACCCGAAAGATTTTCATTTTCGTTTCGAAAATCGCCTGTTCGGTTATTCGAAATGGGAGCAGAACGGCGTGCGCGCCCGGAATATCTACTCAGTGGTCTCTGCGGAGGTTTCACGTTTGAACGTCTCTCGAACGAACTCAGGCGATTTTCACGGAAAAGCGCAATGTGAAAGCCGAAAAAGACTAGAAATAGCCTGGCGTGACGTCCCACACAGACGACAGACAGCAGAACCGAGAGCCATTAACACAACATCAGTAGTAGCGGACTATAACGTACGGCGATCGGATCTAATCAGATCGATCTCGATCCTTCTCTGTTTTGAAATTATTCAAAAAAAAAAATTAAAAAATAAAGAAAGAAACGTGTTAGACTAAGAAGTGTCACGAAAATGCCAACATTCCATTGTTAAAACGAGATAACAAAAAACCGAAAACGAGAGAGAACACGGATTTCTATGAGCAGGTGGCTGTGTGGTGTTTTTGGTATCCTTTAACAACGTCGCGAGTGTCAAGTGCGTCCAAGTCGTGGGTGCTTTATTGAGATGCCTCTCTGAGCAGCTCCGGCCCCCCTGGAATCCGAAACAAAATCCACTCGCGGCAACCACCAGTACCCAGTGGTCAGTGGTTCGGGCTCGGGACCATGCCGGTCATTGCCGATTCCGCCAGCGATGAGCCACCAGCAAAATGTTGCAAACATTGTGAGGGTATGCCTAGATCTTACATCCATCTATTCATACAACCTATATAGTAAAAACCTTATAAACAGAGCGGGAAAAGTGCATTTGTTGAACTCGGTTTAAGTTAAATTTTATTATAAAGTACGATAATGTAAACAAGAGATCACTTAAGATGTGAATAATTTATGTTTAGGCATATGCCAGAAAGTTCTTTTGATGATTTTTCTATTAAACTATTATTATTTATATTATTTCATGAGTTATAACTGGTATTTTTGGAATAAAAAACTTCAAAAAAGGAAAACCAACAAAATATCTTAACATCTATCATAACTTTCTCAGTAATTAACAACTTTTCTACACAATTAACTTACTAATAACTCCCTATTATTCTAAAAAAAAAAAAGTTGCCTAGTTCCTCTAGTTAACCATATAAACAAAGGCCAGAAAAGTGCATCGGCAATACAGATTTCGATTCAGATTCAGGGCGGGTTCGTTAACCGATTCCCACCGCCATTGGGCTCGATCCACCGGCTATTAACTTCGGCCCAAAATCCAAACACAATTGAAAGATTTATGCGCAATTTCCCCCGATTTTCCCTCTTTCCCCCCCAGCACTTGACTGACTTTGCTTCTTTGGCTTTCAGTTTTCAGTGTTCAGTGCTCAGTTTTTTTTTTCCTGCCGCTCCATTTGTTTGTTTTAAATTTTGATGCTGTGCCGTTGTGCTCTGGGCAGCAATTGCTGGGCACTTAGTTTTTCCTGCTTGTACTAGAAAAGAAAAAAAAAAAAAACCGCTGACGCGTCTACTTAACATATTTTTCGGTGGAAATCATCATGACAGCCAACGCCACCGGCTGCAAAATAGGCCTCGAAATTAGCTGGGAAAAGAAATTTACTTTGCTTTTTTTTTTGAAAATTAATTTTCGCAGGGATTTTGACAACATTAAAATTGTGACCGGAAATGTCAAAATATTTTTGTTTTGGAAGGGAAAAACTAAATTAATGTTTGAAGAGGATTTTTATTTTAATTATAGATATTTTTATAAGTAAAATAAATATACAAGCCTAAATATTAAAGGCTTATTTTAAAACATATAAATAAATATAACTGAAAAACTTATCTTAAATTTTATGTTTACATTTATTTAAAAATTAAATATGGTTTCTAATTTTTCTTGCAAAAATCCTAAAACTCAGTTTTTAATTTGTTCTATTTTTGTTTTTTTATTTATCTGATTTTTATATCTCTGAAGCCATAAGCACTTAATTAAGTCCTATCGATATACGAAATCTAAAAAGATATACATATATCACAAGTTTTCCATATCCAATAAATTTTCTTTTTTGGTTTAAGAGTTTTTATTAGTTTAGAACTATAAATAATCACATGATCAATGCTTTTAGCTAAAATAAAGAAAAAAAACTCGACTAGTTCTGAGGTGATATTTGAAATATATTTAATCCTATGACTTAAATTTAGTTAATTTACGTTAATTAAAGACAAGTGTTGTCCCTAATGAGGGGAGGCTGTGCTCTGTTTTTTTTGGGTCTCTCTCTCGAATTTTGGCTGTGCGTTTTTGCTTGGCACGCGCTCAATGTCAAACTGACCAGACCGAATACCACCGCCCATCGGCCCACCAAATACAAATAAAAAAAAGGAATCCAACCACCCGCAGCCCTTCTCCGCCTTTAGCTAACGAGCTGTTAAAAATAAAGCAATGTAAAATGTTGTCAACAAATGCAGACATTGTATGAATATATAATGTAGAGCGAAAGGAACCCAGAGCATATATGCCAAAGTTAAACAAAGCGTGGGCGAACCTCCCATAGAAAACGCAGCCAGAGAACCAGAAAATCATGCGGAAAATATTTGATATAGAAAACACAACACAAATATGCAATGCATATAGGAAAGGGATCTGTCGTAACAGTTGAACTTTCAGAACCTAAGGCTAAGGCTTTAAATACAAATAATTTTATTTGGAAAATAAGGATTTAAGGGTTCCCCTTAATATCCAAGAAAAGTTTTAAAGTTTTAATTAAATAAACATACAAATAATTCCTAAATCTCTCCCAACACTTTACTCTTTTATAATGAAACCTCTTTAATCTTTTCAACAAAATAAACCCAAATCCTTCCAAGCTTCAACAAATAAACTATTTTATCAAAAGCATTTAAAAATAAATAAATTATTCTAATACCAAGAATTAATCATATCAAAAAAAGCTACAAGCTACAAAAACATGAGAGCGTGCGCTAAGCCAAATCATCTTGGCCATATTCACACCGACAACTTGTTTACAACAATGCAATCTTGTTTACAAATAACAAAATATATATGTAAAAAGAGTGAGAAAAAATTCCATTTCTTGTGGCTAATCGGAACGTAAAATTTTCCAAGCCTTGACACTCTTTCAATATATTCCGAGCATATATTTTTATTCCTTTGATATATACATATAGTAATTTTGATGGCTGTGATTAGGCGTTGTGGAATAAAAACTGCAGCTTCTCATTTTGATTTTTTCGTTTATGGCTTTTTTATTTACATGAAAAATGAGACCCAGACGGGCTCGGCAAAATTAGCTGCCGTGCGACAACAACAACAACAAAAAACAGCAAACGCAACAATAAAATCAACAAATTTAATGAAAATCAAGAACGAGACAGACGCCTGTCCCTTTCCTATCCGATTTTCCTTTTTCCTCGTTGTTTTTACGACCATTTCCCATGTAATTTTTAGGGCTGAGTGGGGCACAAGGTGGGCTGTGTTGTTGTCATTCTGTGTGTGTGTTCTGTTGTGTATGAGCAACGCTCTTAAACACTTTAAAATGAGTGTCGCCGGGGCTATTTCCAGGCATCATCGCACCTCGGCTGGGGCATTCCTGACATCTCTCATTCGATTGCCTCTTGGGCGGGAGCCTAGCACAGATCGTGCTGAACTGTGAATTCAAGAAAGGGGGGAAGAATTTTTGAATTTTTCATTTGTTCGTTCCACTGAAGCATTTTTTTTGGGGAATCAGTCAGGCAGGTCTCTCACTCAACTGCCAATAGCTCATTGAACTGGGTTGGTGCACAGGGGGAAAATGGCAGAAAAAACAAGTGAAATTAAAAAACTATCTCTTTTTTTTGGTGAAAATATAGCTGACATAGAGTTCAGAACATTTAAGCCATAAGCTTAAATAGATTTTATTTTAAAATCTCAGAGATCTCTCAAAGATCTTAGACTAATTATTTTACCAGAAAAAGGTGTTCTTATTAAAAATTTTAATGCTTTAATTTCCTTAAAGAACTTACAAATATTTTCCCTAATAATCCCTCTTAAATCCATCTAAACTGGCCCCCAATTTCCCTCTCTGTACAACCAAAAACTACTAACCAGAAAGCACTCAGTTTGCAATTGAAAAATCAATCAACTTGGAGGCTTTTCCAGCCAGACCAAGACTATGGCCAATGGGAAATTCAAAAATTTCTACTTACAACTCGAAGAGCGAAACAAAGTGGCAAATAAATTTGCACTTGCATCATCGTCAACATCATCATGATGATGATCATCATCCTCATTGGGTTGTATCGTATCGTTTCGCTATATTGTATCGAATGGGGAATATAGCGTAGGAGGGAAAGAAATGAAAATGAATATGGTTTTGCGGGACTGAAATGTGAATTTCCATGGCAGCCAGAGCGGCATCGGCATCGGCATCGGCATGGTGTTCAATTGTTTTTCCTAGCGTTGCGCGCGAATGTGTGAAAAACATGCCGAAATTTTTTTTTTTTTTTGCCGAAAAAGTCAAGCGCCGCGAACAACACATGGATTGTATTTTGCATTTTTGCCCATTTTTGTAGTCAAATTTTCGGTCTGAATCAGCAATACCCTCTTTCCTCGAGCGTACAACGGGGCGTATGAATATCGAAATTTTATTACTCCTGCCTCTGCTCTCTCGTTGTTCTCGTTGTTGTTTTGGTTTTTAGCTTGCGCAATGTTTACATACATTAAATGGCAGCGTCCAGTCAAAGTCAAAATTCATGTACACGCAGAAGAGAACGGCCAAGAGAAACGATCGCAGATTGTTTTTAAGGGAAAAAGTACTTGTTGCAGAGAGAAAAAGTAAGGGATTTCTTAAACTTATTAGATCAGGTTTTAATATTAAATTTGTTTGTAGATATAAAAGTTGAGTTTCTTTAAAAATATATAAGAAATTATTACATTATTGTTATATGAGATATTGTTATAAAAATTTAATTAAACACTATTTTTTCTTGTGTACCAGTTGTGCATTACTTTTGCATGTTGCAGACACATGTTCGAGAACACAAAAAACAAAAAAAAAAGAATTATAAAACCTAAACAACAACAGCAACAGGCAGTTTTTGGTGTACATATATCTTCCAGCGTATGGCATCGTCTATATATCCCACATTGTCCAGTTTTACCTCGTTTTGCAATTTGCTGGCCAAGAAATTCGTTGGAAATTTCGGAAAACGAAAGCGCACGCATTTGTGCAAATAAACAATGTGTGGGCGTGTGTAGGGGGGAGGGTAGTTGAAAACAGGTGGGGTGTATGGTGGGTGGGTGTGCGGTGTGTTAGGTGTGTACATACATCTAAGCAAGCGTTTGAATAATTTGGAAAGGGTATATTGGGCCTACATAGGTGGGAGTTTTAAATTGGAAAAACAGGATCAAAGATTAGTAAGCTTTATGAAAGATTTAATATTAATAACAATAATTAAACAAAAAAGGATGTGATCTCACATTTAAGCTAAGGATTAAGAAGTTAACAATGATCTATTACAAGGCCAAAAATATATAAATACAAAAAAAATATAAATTTTTCTTAATAAATTTAATATATTTAAATCAACACAAAAACACCTTCTTTCTCATTTAAGATAAGAAAATATCAAACAAAGCTTTTCTTTTAAAGGCTAACCCTTAATTCACCATCAATTCCTTCAGAAATATTTCTATCTTTATTCGTTTTTGCATTAGCTCCTTTGAGTCTGGCGCTTTTCCTCACATTTTCC